GTATGAGTTGTGTGTGACTGTATTGTGTGTGTGTGAGTGTATGTATGCGTGTGTAAGAGTGTGTGTGAATGTATGTGCTGGGTTGTGTCCAGAAGCAGAGGAGGTTTAAGTTTGCTTGCACCACCCAGGCCTTCATTTTTTCACTATAGAAATGGGATATGCTAAATAAAGAATGGTGTGTTGCAAAATTTTACTGCTTGAGAATAGATTAGCATACGATTAAGAATTTTCAGGAAGAACTCATTTAACTTAAAGACTCCTAGTTCATTTACGGATCTTAAATTCTGTGTGCCACCATGATCTATAAGGAAACTTAAGAAGTCACTGTTCACTACTGTGCTGCATATAAAACAATATACCCCAAGGGAAAAGTTCCCATATTTATGTCTCTTCGCAGACCAATTAAAGCAGAATCTCTGGGAGTAGAATTCAGACTTTGGTAGCTTTTCAAATTCCCCACATGATTCCAATGTGCAGCAAGTTTGAGAGCCACTAATATAGAGGTAATGTTTGTTGTATGAATGAAAGTTTGATAGATGAATAAAAAGACATCGTTAATCAGAAATTTGGGGCTCTGGTCTCAGCACAACCACTAACATGCTATGTGACTTAAACGGTGTCACTCTGCTTTCCTAAATACACACTAGACGCCTTTAAGATCCCTTCCTGCTTTAAGACTTCATGATTCTCCTTGCTGGTCACAGCAAGAGCCAAATAGGAAGGGCTGGGAGAAATGAGAACAAAATGATTGAGGTTTTCTAGAAAATTTCACTTAGGAGAAAGGTAATCCTAACAGGAAGCTCTTTACTATGGCACCCCCTTTTTTTTTAACCCAAAAAGGGAAAGTATTTATGAGGTTCCTGAGAAGTGTGCACTTAGAAAAACATCATACAGCTCTGTATTCAATGTGCAAAGGAGAGAGAGAATGATCCCTAATCCCCAAAGATCCCATTAGGGTGACAAAATGTTTGTAGGGATACCCTCAGCCACTGGAGAAGAACAGAGATGCATTTATTCCAAAGTCCTCACAAACCTCCTTCTCTGACATTTGTCTGTTCAAGGTCTTCTCCAAAGCTGCACTGGGGTTCCACTCTCAAACACAGAAAGCCCAAGCTTTCTTGACTGCTGCCACGGCCTTTTTGCTGGGATCTCTAAGGGCGGGGGGGGGGGGGGGCACGCTGCCAACCCAAGTCTTCCACTGTCACCCTACCCAGACAGTAAAACTGGGCAAGTTAGCTGCTCATGTTTATTTAAATATTGTGAAGGCATTTCCAACAGGGAACTTGTGTGTGGCCTACCTGATTTCTATTATTCTCCAGACCCTATTCTCTGAACTACTTTATATACAGCTATTTAGGCTTGCCTGCATGTGAGATTTTGCTATCTGTCCCTAGACATCAATACTTTCTAGTCACTCAACAGCAGCCACAAATTACCCTCCATTCCCTCTCATTGTATACCACCTCCGGGAAAGGCGATTTTAAAATTACAAAAATAAATACGTTTGGGAAGTTGATAATGGGTGCCTTAAAAATTGAGATTCATTGGCTTTCCAATGGGTGAGCACAAGATGTCCCCTAACTCTGCTATAAGAGTTCCCATCTCAATCCCCTTAATTTCCCTATTCGATTTTCTCAAATTTGTGATGCCTGGCACACAGTTTTGTTAGCGGTATTTGCTAACTGAATTTAAGAAGGAAATGGCCGTTTCTAGGGCCTTTGAGATCACATGGGTGGGTATTCCGTCAGGATAAACTCCAGGAAGAATACCAAAAGCCCAAAGAATTCCTCCAAGGATAAACATTTACTGATTATCTGCTTAGTAAGATGCTAGGTATGCAGAGAGGAAACACACACACACACACACACACACACACACCACTTGATCTCTAGGAGCTCTGAGCTTCTTATTCCCCACTCTCCCCATCCCTTCCCCCGCCCCGCCCCTCGGGAACGATCTTTACTACAGCAAATTTTCAAGTCACCTCTTTCTTCATCGCTTAAAACTAAATAAATAAATAAAACTTAAAAAGCTAGAGAAGCCACTATGAAGCAAGTGCGGGTTTTGAGGGGGTCTTGTGGCCCGGGAGAGAACCCTTTTACGTAACTGCCATCCATTTTCTGGGACAGACAGGGGGTGCAGCATGTAAGCGATGTGGAGGCTAAAATGACGTCAAAACAGAGATGCACTCGCAGAGACGACCTTTTCCTAAGGAAGACCCAGAGTTAGGGATGTTGGAGGTAGGGGGACATTACCCCAAACCAGGTATCCTGAGAAACAAGACGCACTGCCTGGAACACTGAAGAAGCAGCGGGCGTGCAGCAACCTTTCTTGGGGGTTCTGTTCCCTGGTCCGTATACATATCGAGAAGTTAGCGCAAGTACGCGTGAAGCAGGGGGACACCCCGATTCAGCTAGAACCGGGCCGAGGTCTCGAATTCCCAAACGCATTCATGCTGGAATTTTAACACCAGACTGAGGGAGCTTCCAAAGTCCGGCTCGCGGAGCGGACAGCACCCCCACTGGGGGCATCCAATGCCTGTGAAACGGAAAGAGGGAACCAAAATGCAAAATTTCCCCGAGATGAAGGAATCGCCCCTTTTGTGAAGGACTCGGAGAAAACTGCAGAGCTCCGGACGCGGCTCCCGCGGAACATCGGCCACGGAGCCCAGCCGGGACAGTAGCTCCAGTTTCCCCCCGCCGTCCAGCCTTGCCCCGGGGCGGCTCTCACGCAGGCGCAGTGGCGCCGCGCTCCCGTCCCAACGCGCATGCTCCGCCGGACTGCCGAGCTCCCGGCCGGCGGCGGCGGCAGCGGCGGCGGAGGAAGTTTCCGCTTTGCCTCCACCCCGGTAGCAGCTCCGCGGCCGGGGACAGCTTCCTCCGGGCGCTCCGCGAGCTTTGCTGCCGCCGCACGTCTGTCACAGCACCATGGGGTTGCCCAAGGGCCCGGAGGGCCAGGGTCTCCCGGAGGTAAGGACCTCCCTCTCCCAGACACGTCCGGGTTCCTGGGAGAGGGCCGAGCCCGCGGGGTGGCGGGCAGAGCGGCGCCCGGGAAGCGTTTGGGGCGCCCCGCCCCCTTCTCAGGTGTGTCCCGGGCGGGGAGAGCTGGCCCTGGGCGCTGGGGACCTGACAGGTCCCCCTGCCTGGGCGGGGGCGGGGACAAACTTCAGCCGCTCTCGGGTCCCCGGGGAGGGAGGTGGTCTTCCCAGCCCAAAACCTAGCCCCACGCAGCCCCAGGCGCCGCGGGGCCCGAGGTTCTACTTCTCCCGGGCAGTGTCCCCCACCCCTGGCGCCGCAGGGCTCGCCCCGAAGCCAGGGGCTGCAGCGCCCTGGGAGTCACGAGATGCGTGCTGGGACGGTCCGGGCTCTGGTTGTGCAAAGGGCGGTGACCTTGTGGCGCCTGTCGCCGCCCCGAGGGGCCTGCGGGGTCCCTCCCCCCCCCCCCCCCAACTCGCCTCGGTGTGTGCAGGGAATGCACGCCAGACCCTGTAGCAGCTGGAAGTTTGGGAACCGTGCGCGCGCTGGGTTGTCTGCGGGAGGCGACGCGCTGTCCGGTGGGGCTGTGTGGCCCGGCAGTGCGCCTGGCGGAAGCGTGGCTGCTTCTCCAGAACGTAGCGGGTGCCTTTCCTTACAGCGGTGTTATTAAATACTCACTCGGTCCTAAGGGATAGGATAATCAGTGGTTTCCGGATTTCCACACTAGCTAGGCATAAAGGGAACGTGCATTTCCTTTTGGCTGCAAGTGTCATTCATATAGCTAGGTGGTTTGCAACTGTCTTCTCTTCCAGTCGATTTACTCCAAAGCTAAGTCTAGTTTAGTTTACTAGATTCTGGAAAGAAATGGAGCCCACACTGCACCTCTATCCCCCTCCTAAGGTTTTGAAGCAGGCATTTGGCAGGAGGACTGATGCCTTGACATGGTGAGTGGTTCCTTCCCTTTCAACCGCCTGTCATCCCACCCACACGACCCCCTGCCAATCCTCAGTTTTTCATCCCACAAGTACCCACTAATTGTGGGATCGCTGTTCTGTGCATAAAAGCTGGGGATATAGTGATGGCAGAACAGATTTATCTGTGAGTGTGTGTGCCCAGAATGTAAGTCCATTTTGTTGTAATCTTAGGAAAACCTAAGAAATGTCCTGTTGTCAGAACCCTTGTATTAGGTAAAACCTTACATGCAAATTACATCGATGGAATGGGGGATTGTGAAGACTCAGAACTGTATCCTGGTATTTGATATTTCTTGTTTGTCACTTGTTTGTTTTAGGCTCTTACCGAGTTTTTGCCTGACCTTTTGCTATAGACTCCTCTCTGGCCTCTCAGGTTCCACCTTAAATCCCTTTAATTCAGTGTCCTAGAGTACTATAAATGGGGATCTTTCTAAAATAAAAAGCAGCATGGTCCTCTGAGTCTTTTGTATAACCCTTCTCTGACTGCCAGGAGGCTGGGTCTGATTTGTCAGTTTTCTGGGAACCTAAGACAGTTCTTGGCAATTAGGAGGCACAGAGGGTAGCTAGAGTTAAATTAGTATCATTCAGTTCAAAGAGCAGTACATATGAATATGGGTAGTCTGTGTCATTAAGCTGCCACTAATCCAGTTAATTCTTTAAATTTAATTTTTTAAACCCTTTACTCTATGTCTATGAAGGATAGGGAAGATAGCTAGACTTGGCACTGCCTTCCAGCTTCCATGAACTATAGTACAGAGCAATGAAAATTTAGCGTGCCCGGTTTAAGAGCTCACAGTCATACATCTTTATCAGAATTTTAGTTTTTTAACAATGGGTGTATTCGCCAATCTGATGGCTTTTGATACCGTCAAGAGAGGGCATTCTTTCAGTCACTGTGTGTTAACCTGTGGCCCTTTCTCATTTTGTTTCAGTATTAATCTGTGAAGTGAATGTGGAGTCTTACTAACAGTCTCCATTCAGTGTCTTGCACCAAGAAGTTATTTCACAGGTTATATTGCAAAACTATACATACTTCTCCATTCTGGGGATGAGTGGATAAAAACCACGGGCCATGCATCTGCCTTGGGGTTGGCAGTGGGTGTTCATTATGTCCAGGCAAACCAGGAATAATCCTCCTGGGATGAAATGTCCTCTTCTTGGAAGTGTTTTCATGATTAGTGATGACTGAACAAATGAAAGGTTCATGTTTTACATCCTAGGAGTTTGAAGAAAATGCTTATATCATCCCATTTTTCTCTTCTACTCCATCTTTGTGAACCATATTGCTCTTTACCTTCTCTTTTCTTTGAGTCTCCCCACTTAGAGATGTTGCTTAACTATCCCAGATCTTTTGCAAAGGAAGCGAAGGTGTGAATAATTAATATTACTTTATTTTTGCATGTCCCCTAAGAACCAGGGAATGCTTTGATAGCCTGGACCAAGGTGATTTGAGAGAGGAGTGAAACAAGGTGTCACCTTCACCACCTACTACTGCAAGAGATTGTCAGTCATTTTAATAATTCTTTGTTCAACTATTTGTTAATATGTAAGCTCCCTCTCCTGGCAATTTGTACTTCAAAATAAACTTGAATTTCCATTATCAGTGTCATGACTACAAAAACATTTTGTTAATCTATGACTGGCATAGGTCATGCACTTTGTGTGATGATTGAACATGTCATTCCATATTTAATTGCCATTTGAGTCTAATGCTGCTTCAGAAGAGTTGTAAACATGACTGAATAAAATATTGTCCTCTCCTGATCCAGCTAATAGGCCATTTCAAAAGACAGGCATATATATTAACACCAGACATTTCACTCAGAAGAGGTTGATACTTAATTGTATGAATGGCTAGAACTATAAATAAAATAGAAATGCAGAGGAGTGACCATTTCTGGCTGCATTTGTCAGGGTTGGCATCAAATAGGAGCTAGAATTTGAAGCTGGTTTCTGGATGGTTAGGGAGTATGAGGAGAAGAGAAGGGGTATGAATAGTGAAGAAAGGGGAATGAGCCATGCTTGAGGTTGTCCATACCACGACTAGATTGTTCCCGAGGGAGGTGAAGGCTGGAGCTGAAAAGATAGGTTGCAGCCAAAGATCCAAATGCCAGACTAAGAATGTTGGAGTTTATCTTACAGACAATGTATGATGTGTTAATGATAAGGACTGGGGGATGAGCTAAAGAGGGAGGATCTGAAAGTTGTGATTTAGGAGGGAGGGAGGAAAACAGATTAACAGAAGGAAGATTGAGAGGCAGTTGCAGTAGTCCCGGCAGGAAGTGTAAATAAAAGGGAGGAGGTCAATGTGACGTCTATAATAAAGGAACAGTTCATGGGCATTGTTGGTTGAGGGGGTAGTCAGAGGTAGGTCCAAGAATTTGAGCCAGCTATGTGTTAGCTGTGTTTTATATAGATTATTGGTTTTTTATGTTCTGCAATAACAAAAGAGAGGAAAGGTACTGTTCATGAAAGCAGATGGAGGCAAAAGGACTAGAATATTTCAGTGGTTTTAAGTTGTCAACACCGGGAGCGAAGGTAAGATACAACTTAAAATTTTAAAATCAGGTCCCTATTCAAATATATTAGATGAATTCATTTTTTTTAAAAGATTTTATTTATTTATTTATTTGACAGAGATCACATTTGGGTAGAAAGGCAGACAGAGAGTGAGAGGGAAGCAGGCTCCCCGCCGAGCAGAGAGCCGATGCGGGGCTTGATCCCAGGACTCTGGGATCATGACTTGAGCCGAAGGCAGAGGTTTTAACCCACTGAGCCACCCAGGCACCCCTGAATTTATTATTTTTAAGGCAATCCCATTTTGTGGCAGTAATCATCCTTCAGTGTATCTGGGTTGAAAGCCCGCCTTGTATTTGCTTTAGAGATCTAAAAGAGAAGTGCAGAGAAAGACACATATTTGAACTCACTTCTTTGTTCTTGCTCTGTTTGTCAGTAGCTTTTGGGACCAAGATGTGCATAAAGTTAAAAAAAAAAAAAAACAACCTTGTTTTTGTCTGTGAGGAGTTTATTATTTAGTCGGAACCTGTTAAGTAAGCGATGCGTTAGAGAACAGGGAGGTAATATGCTGTAATCTGCCTGTCCCTGGTTTTCTTCAGCACCAGAGGTGTAATCTGTATCACCTGTGTATCTTTTTTTTTTTTTTTTAAGATTTTATTTATTTATTTGAGAGAGAGACAGTGAAAGAGAGCATGAGCAAGGAGAAGGTCAGAGGGAGAAGCAGATGCCCCATGGAGCTGGGAGCCCGATGCGGTACTCGATCCTGGGATTCCAGGATCATGATCTGAGCCGAAGGCAGTCGTCCAACCAACTGAGCCACCCAGGCGTCCCTCACTTGTGTATCTTTTCTTGCCATCTGTGACAGTAAACACAGATTATCGAGGCCTGAGGATGCTGTTCTTTGTGACTCTGGCAGCTCCAGCATGAACACAGCAAGACAGCCAATGTCACTAGCTCCTTAGCTATTAAATTGTGGCGTCAGAAATACACCCAGTGTTCCTTTATTCAAGGTGGATTTTAGCAGCCTAACTTTTGGTTCTTCTTCTAGGTTGAAACAAGAGAAGATGAAGAACAAAACGTCAAGCTGACTGAAATTCTGGAGCTTTTGGTTGCAGCTGGATATTTCAGGGCACGAATTAAAGGTTTGTCACCTTTTGACAAGGTAAGAGGAAACCTTTCTAACCATTAGGCTGTGTTTTGTTGGGACGGAGTGGTTTACCAGGGCTGAGAAAAGAGGAAGAGATTGTGTTTTTACTTTCTCTAATGTCCATGTTTCTCTTGGATTCAGGTTCGTTATTAGAAGTGTTCCAATTTCGGGGCACCTGGGTGGCTCAGTGGGTTAAGCCTCTGCCTTCGGCTCAGGTCATGATTCCAGGGTCCTGGGATCGAGCCCCACATCGGGCTGTCTGCTCAGCAGGGAGCCTGCTTCCCCCTCTCTCTGCCTGCCTCTCTGCCTACTTGTGCTCTGTCTGTCAAATAGATAAATAAAATCTTAAAAAAAAAAAAAAGAAGTGTTCCAATTTCCTATTACAAGAAAATAAAAATGTGTCAGTAGATATGCCTTGAATTTCTTTTCTGTGTACAGAGCATTGGGAAGTGCAAAAAAACATTAGAACTAGTTCTTCCTTTTAAGGAACTTACAGTTTGGGTGGAGAGAGAAAGGTTATATGAGATAAAATCTGAGTTAATAAGGAGCTGTCCCAAGTCATTGTGCACACAATTGCCACATATTCTGATGATGGTTAGTTCTGAGTTTGGAGGCAGTGACTGTCACTATGGAGGGGAGAGAAGTCCCTGTGGGTTGAAGTCTGTTAATTCAGCAGAACCTTCAAGAATCCTGTACGAGGCATAGTAATAAGTATTGAGGGCACAAGGATCAGACCAAGGCCCTGTACTCAAGGAGGCCAGCTTCTATAGAATAGGGAAGGGAGACAAGTAAAGCAGGGTACTCAGTGTCATGAGGTAGTAAGTGCAGCAGAAATGAAGCTTCCAGATCAGACAGAGCAGGCCAGGAAAGCTTCCCGGTGGAAGAAAGTGTTGAGTGCCCCAGTGGACCACGGCCTGGCTTGGCATAACAATCGCTGTGGACTGTTTTCTAATACAGATGCTGTGGCCTCACCCTTTGATATTTGGTTAGATCTGGGCTGGGGCCCTGAATCTGTATTTATAGGCGTCTCACTGTGTTTAAACACAGCCAGAGATCAGAGTCCCCATCGAGCTATATCTGAAAAGTATTTAGCTGGAGTTTTTTTTTTTTAACCTCAGTGGTCATTTGCACCTCTGAAAGGTCCCCTGTGAAAAGTAGAACAGGGATTCTTCTCTCCTTTAGATACATGAAAAAAACAAGATGTACGGAAATTCAGTAATGAGCCACAAATGTCAGCCTTGCTACTAACCTGTCTGATCTTCAAAACACGTAATTCCTCTGGAATCTGGCACTTACCTAAAACTGGTTTAAGCTGCCTCCTAGCTAAGAGTTAATGTCTCAATATAAGGAGGATCTGTGAATGATATGTTTGTTTCATAGTATAAGTCAGCTTCTTGGTCACACTAGCCCCATGTGTGCCATGTGCGTACTGGACAGTATGCGCACAGGACATTTCCATCACTGCAGGAAGTTTTATTCGGTGGTACTGTTTTAGATGAGTTGTAGTTGATGGAGTCAGAAGGACATGTGCTCTCTCTCTAAAGAGATACACTTTTGTATGATCATTGATTCTTTAAAAACTTAGATATTTTTCTCCCTTCCATTTCCTCCCCTCTCCCCAAACTAGAAGGAGAAAACAGGTATTTTCTTCGTGTCTTGCAGGTAGTAGGAGGGATGACTTGGTGCATTACCACTTGCAGCTTTGACATAGACGTTGATTTGCTGTTTCAGGAAAACTCTACAATAGGACAAAAAATGTAAGTTATTAGGGTTTGCCACAGATGAGCCTAAAGGGGGAGAAGGGAACTAACTTTTGAGTATTCTTTATGTGCCAAAAATTATGCTAGATGCCTTACATATTTTGTTTTGATTTTCATTGCCAACAGGTATGTATTATCACAGTTTTATAGATTATGAAACGGAGTTTGATAGAAGCCACAGTCACAAAGCTAGCCTATACATCATTTAATGCTCAGACTATTCTCTTTCTCACTCTCTCTTTTTCTAGTTTCATTTAGAGATTATCGTCACATAACATTGTATTGATTTAAGATGTACAACACAATGATTTGATATATATATTGCAAAATGGTCACCACAGTAAATTCAGTTAACATCCATCGCTTCATATAGCTATAAGTGTTTTTTCTTGTGATATGAACTTTTTCTTATCATAACTTTATGTGAACTTTCTTATCACAACTTTTTCTTGTGATGTGAACATCTACGCTCTTGGCAACTTTCGAAATACACAATACAGTATTGTTAACTCAAGTCTCCTTGCTGTACATCACATCCCCAGGACATATCTATCTTATAATTGCAAGTACCTTTTGTACTTCTTGTCACCCTTCCCCCCGTTCCCTCACCCCACACTCTTTACCTCTGGCAACCACCAGTCTGTTCTCTGTTTCTGTGAATTCAGTTACTTTAGACTCCCACATACACATGAAAATATACAGTATTTGTTTTTCTCTGACTTCTTTCACTTCGCATAATGCTCTCAAGGTCCATCCATATTGTTGCAAAGAGCAGGATTTCCTTTTTTCTTTTATGGTGGAATAATGTTCCAATGTGAACACACACCATGTCTTCTTTATCCATTCATCCGTGGATGGACACTTAGGTTGTTTCCACAGTTGGCCATTGTGAGTAATGCTGCCATGCATGTGGGGCTGCAGGTACCTCTTTGAGATCCTGATTTCATTTCCTTCTGTTAAATACTCAGAATAAAATTGCTGGGTCATAGGTAGTTCTATGATTTTTAAAAATTTTTTATTTTTTAATTTTCTGAGGAACATCCACACTGTTTTCCATAGCCGGTGCACCAATTTACAGTCTCACCAGCAGTGGACAAAGGTTCCCCTTTCTCTGTGGCCTTGCCAGTGCTAGTTATCTTTTTTGTTAGTCTTTTTGAGTTTAAACATTCTAACAGGTGGGAGGTAATATCTCACTGTGGTTTTGACTTGCATTTCCCCCAATGATGATTGATGTTCAGCAGCTCTAATAGTTTTTCTGATACTCTCTAAGAGTATCCCGGACTACTTAGTTTATCTCTTTCCAAAGGCAGCTGGAAGGAATGTACTGGATGGAAGCTGAACAGAGTGAGAAGAGACTCTTTCCCTCCCCTTTGCTTCTTTGTAAGGCAGAGCCACACTTTGCCTGCCACTGAGAGAAGGCAGCATGGACTCCCCGTTAGAGGTTTCACCTGAGTGGGCCCCGCCCAGTCTTCGGTAGCTCACCAGGGGTTTGGTGATCTCATTAGACCACTAGTGAGGCTCCCACATTCTGCCCTGCCCTGCCAGTGGGCAGCTGTGTAACCTTGGACAAGCCTCAGTTCCCTTATCTGTCAGGAGAGAGATTTGTGATTTCAGATCTGTGTGCATCTGTGACTTAATTTTTCTGAAGCTTTATCCTCCCCCAGGAAAAAACTCTTCCAAGTGGATTGAAGGTGGTTTACAAATATGTATATGAAGCAGTGATAGAGAAAAGGCAAAGCAAAGCAAAGGGAAAACAAACTGAGTTGGGGATAAGGCTACAACATTTGTCCTGGGCCACAACATGCCTTGTTTTTATAAGGGTGAGCCACAGATTTGGCTCCAGGCTTTCTGGCAGCCAACAAAAAGAGAAAAACATGATAAATTACCCAATTCATAGTTTCCATGCTGAAGAAAAATCGGTCCCACGGAATCACCGAAATTCTTACAATAACAAGACCAAAGGACATCTCTGGGCTGCTCGTTAAAGAGGACATACTGTTCTCTGTGACACTGTGCTCCTCAGTGCCCAGCCATGAATAGCTGAGCTCTGCATCTGGAGCATCTGTCACTCTGGGACCATGGCATTGCAGCCAGTGACCTGTTGTGAAAAGTTCTTACTAGGAATCAGTGGGATGGAGTCTGTGTGTGTGGCTCTACTCTCTGCTGGCTGGGCTTAGTCCAGACATGTGTTTTTTATTTTATTTTTTTTATTTTATTTTGTTTTTATTGTGTAGGTGCCACATTCATGAAATTAAAAAAAAAAAATTCAAATACTGCCAAAGGGTACAAAATATATAGCTAACATCTCTCCCTATTCCCAGTCTATAAAACCCTGGTTTAATTCCCTGGAAAGAACCATCTTTGCCTGTTTAGCTTTTAGATTTTTTCAAAGAGCTCACTTCCATATCTCTAATTATGTATTTTTCATTTAAATCTGATAAGAGGAGGAATTTAGCTCACCTGTGCTACTCACTACATCCCCTTTGCCTCTCCTCTTCCACTTTTGTAGTTATTATCTGTTTTTCTAGGATTAGTTGTATAGCTTTAATCAATATAAGCTTCTGTTTCTTGACTCATTTATATGAGATGGTTTCTCCTGGTTCCTAGCTATGTAGGGTAAATGTTTTTGCTCTCCGTTTTTCCTTCTTCCTTTCAGCCTCCATTTACCAGCATATCATTACTCTTAAAATGTTCAGGGCATAATATTTATGATCTGTTTTCTGTAATAGCAATTAAATTGTCCATGCTTTATCTACAGGTAGATTCTAAAAGTAAATCTATAAACAGTGTTTACAATAAGAACTAAGAATTGTGATGGTGCCAGAGAAAAAGAAATATAATCTTTTGGATGACAATGGTGCTGTTTGGTGGAGAATATTCAAATATTACAGTCAAAAGGAATCCTTATTTATTCATTGACTCACCAGATATTTATGGAGGCCCGCCTATGGGTCAGGCATTGTTCTGGGTACTTAGGGTATGTTAATGAAACATGTCCTGCCCTCACAGAGCTTAGAGTCTTTGGTGGGGAGACAGACCAGAAACAACTAATTTAATAAATAATTGAATTACATATACAAATAATATGTGCTATGAAAAAAAATTACAGCTGGGACAGTATATGAAGGACGTGCTTTGGAGGCAGTTGTGTGACTTTAAGTCAGCATGGCCTCATTGAGAAGGTGATACGGAAGCTAAGACTTGAGAAAAGAGGGTTCCAAGCAAAGGAGATGGTGAGCGTGAAGGCTCCCAGCAGAAGCTTGCCTAGTGTACAGTGAGGTGGGGAGGAGGGAACAATGGGAGAGGGGCAGACAGGTTGTAGGGGCCAGATCGTGTAGAACTTCGTAGGTCAGAGTAAATAAAGGCTTTGAGTTTACTCTGAGCGAGATGGGAAATTCTTGAAGGGTTTTGAGCAGAGGAGGAACATAATCTGTTCATAATCAGTTTTAGAAGGAACCCTCTGGTTACTAAGTGAGGGGATGAAGTTGGCAGCAGGGAGATTCTTAAGCATACTGTAGCCGTGCTCAGGGGAGAAGATGGTGGCCAGGACAGTGGGCTAGCAGTGGAGGGATTCTGGATCCTCTTTGAAGGGAGAAACAACAGAATGTAGATTGGATCTGGGTGTGAGTAAGAGCAGAGTCAAGACTGGTTCTGAGGGGTTTGGCCTGAGCAAGTGGAGGTGGTCTGTACAAAAAGTCACTGAAAATCAGGCACGCTGTAATTTGCCTCATGTTTATACAGCTTATTTTCCTTGAGTTTCTGATTGCCTTTTTTTTTTTTTTCCTACAAAGAAGCACATATCCTTACCTATAGCTAGGATTGGCCAGATTCTTTCTTAGTCTGTTTGTTAACATAAATTAACTATCTTCTCAAAGATACTCCTGAATGAAGCCTCTTTCTGTTTCAGTTTAAGTGATTGCTTTTGACACCTGCGGCACCCCTGACGTTCTGGGATTTCTTTTAGTGCATTCTTTCTGCACCAGTCTTCCCATTTCCTAAATTCCATGTAGCCCTTCTTCCTAAACTCCCTGGGTGTTTTAGAGTGGTTTTTAGCCCCTTTTTCACTTTTGTGTCCTTGAGAGTTATTATACTTTCCCAGCAGTGATAGTACTCTTAACAGATACTGGAGTACAGTGTTTTTATATAGATTCTTAATCTGAAATCTAAAAAACAATGAAAACAGGCTTCTTTCTTTCTATGTGTGGGTACAAAATTCATTTGGGAACAAAACATGACCTGAACTTTCTTTTTTTTTTTTTTTAAAGATTTTATTTATTTATTGGACAGAGAGATCACAGATAGGCAGAGAGGCAGGCAGAGAAAGAGGAGGAAGCAGGCTCTCCGCTGAGCAGAGAGCCCGACGTGGGGCTCGATCCCAGCACCCCAGGATCATGACCTGAGCTGAAGGCAGAGGCTTAACCCACTGAGCCTCCCAGTCACCCCTGATCTGAACTTTCTTAAGGCTATTTATAGTCTATACAGACCCCCACATAGGTGAACATTCATAACTTTTGCTGCAGAAATAATCATTTCAAGTCTAGATTTCACTTGGGCTCTACATAATATATAGTATATGCCTGTTAGGTCCATGAAAGTGTAAACATCTAAAAAGTTGTGAATTCTGAAACACATGTGGCCCCAAAGGGTTTGGATAAGGGGTTGAGGATATCCAGTAGTATGTTCTCTAGTAGGTACTTGGTGTGCTTTTAAGTGCAGAGCCATGGACTGTAATTGTGGGCGAAGCTGGGGGCAGCAGTTTGCAGGACTGAAGATCCACCAGCCTCTAGCAGTGCACCAGGTGTTCGGGTCTCTATTATCCATAAGAGAAATGCCATAGCCACGGTGTACTGAATTATTCGGAAGTCTTTTCTGTTTGGTTTTCTAATATGTTCTGGTTGTGTGCAATTTAGACTTAATACTGCCTTCTGTTTGCAGGGCCTCAGTATGTCCCGGCTGATGTGATGGGGGGCCAGATAGCACTGTCTGAGGAGTGCACTTACCTCTTGAGGGCGTCATTATCTTTCAGGCTCTTTTTTGTGTGTGCCCAATTGAGGCCTCTCTGTTCTTGTTGATCCTTTTTGCTGGAGGGTTTCATGAGCTTCTGCCTTCTGTCTATACCCTCCTTCTGTCTATACCCTCCCAGCCTTTCCTAAAGTCCCATACTACAGAGTCCTATGCTCAGAGGTCATGAGATTTTTAGGCTCATAATGGAGTTCGGTAACACACAAGTGGAGGCACCTGTGTGCAGAGCACTTGTGCACGAATTTTACTGTTTCATCTTCACTATAAGTTCAAATAAGGAGGAAAGGCATTTTTTTCCTCATTTTATGATAGGAGTACTGGACCAGAAGGATCAGGTGAGTTGCCAAAAGTCTCAGAGCCAGTGATGGAGCTGGAATTGAGACCCTGGTTTAATTCACTCTCTTTCAAACTGTTTGCAGTGGAGAAGGAAACCATGTACTGAACACTCTTAAAAACTGAAGGAATCCAGCCAATCACCTGTAGTCGCAAGTGGGCATTGTTCAGTCTTAGGCTAGGAAACCTGACTGGGGACCTCTGCATTTGTCATTTTCCCAGATTTTCAGAGAGTCAGAGAGTCTACCCTGAGCTACAGGGAGAAACAGATAGGGGCTGGTGGGCTTCCACAAGAAGTCCTCCTGACTTTTGTCCCCTCCCCCCAGCCTGCCTGTGTCTCCCCCACGTCCCTCCCTCAGTCCAGCAGTATTTGTGCCCCCAGCTGCTTCCGTATGCTGCAGAGTAAGACCTCAGTCTTGGCAGTGAGTTCTGGGAGGCAGGTTTAATAAGCTTATAAACCCCGAGATGACCCGGGGCATCCTTCCCTCAGGGCCTTTATACCCGGGAAGGTAGTCAGTCTCTGATCAGTGGCCGGAGACAACTCAGTCTGAAGGTAGAGAGGGTTGGGCTGGATAGGGTTCAGGGTCTGAGCCTCTTGTTTTTAAGCTCCTGAATGGTTCCATGCAGCCAGTAACCCTCTGCAGACTCAGATCTGTAGCCACTAGGGGGAGCTTTCCTCCCACTGAACCAAAATATAACTGAGCAGAAAAGCCCCATGTCTGTCAACAGTTAATACCTGCCCTGAGCAAGAATGCCAAGTCCTTCATTTGCTAAGCTTGGAGTTTAGGAAGCAGAGCCAACTAAGCACCAGCCTCTTCCCCTCACAAGTTTCAAATAAATTAAACATGAGAGCCTGATGGAGATTAAAATAAAAAATAAAGTGTGTTGTAGAGAGAGCCTTAGATATGCTGTCAACTGGGTTTGTTAATACTTACCTACCAAACTATCCCATTTGAGCCCCAGCAAAGCTGGCCAGCCATGGGCTTTCCCACTGGGCAGCCACACATCTTGTGACCGGAAAGATGCGTGTCCTAAAGACATGCTGGTCAGAGAGAAGGGATTGCATTAGTAGCCGAGAGCCATAGGACAGTGTCCTTCTATGCCTCGGACCTTCTGGATAATTCACATATGCACTCCCTCTGTGGGAGGTGAAAATGTTCTCTCCTAGGCTTCCCTCCTGGGAGATGGGTGTCCCCTCCTTCTGTGAATGTATAGAGTGTCCATCTTCCCCTGACCATATTTTTTTCTCTTAACATACTGGACTGGACATGGATATTGTGATCCATGGAGCTGTGGGCATGACTATTTCTCTTTTAGCAGCCATAACTTTGGTGCCACCATGTAAAGCTACTTTCCAGAATAAACAGAGTTTTGTAGGGTGTTCTCCAGGGACCATTCCTTAGGAAGCTGTTTAGCTTTTCTCCCTAGATTGTACTTAGTTCCCACCAAGACTGAGAGCACAGAACCTACTAAGGGCAGTGTAGATAAAACAATAATTGCTCTCACTCAGGCCTTTGTTAGCTGTTGGTCTTAAGGGTGTCTGTTTCTTGGGAAGGATTATGGAGCTGCAGAAAGATAGAAGTTTCCTTGTTCCTTGAACAAGGAATACTTCAGGTAGACCCAGACTTGCTGAATTTGAAGCATTTGGTAAGACCCGGGGAAATAGTCTTCACTTGGAGACAAGACCACAGTAGCTGCCGTAACAGGCTAAGGTTATTTTTTAGAAGGGTTTTAGGTGGGACTGTAACCTAAACTATCCACATAAGCTGAGCCAGAGGCCCCCATTTCTCCATATGGCCCCACAAGGACATGCCTTGTGACTGTTTCTCAAGGCAGACCCACTAAATAACCTCTGCTCTCTCTTCTTGAATCTGATCCAATTAGGATGTAAGAAATAAGAACCCGACATCTGGAGATCAAGTATCAGCTGATTAGAGAAGGAAACTGAAGTCTGCCATGGTGTGGACTTGCCCGCAGATTGCTCTATCACTCCAGCTGTAAAAGTGCCCCACCCGGGTCCAGGTGGGAGCAAGGGGAGGATGCTGGCCTCCTGACAGAGCTAGAAGGATGCTCTAGGATCTCAGGGAGCCCCGTTCTTCCCCTCCCTACTCCCTGATGTTTTCTAAGACTGAAGCAAGGTGTTGGAGAGAGATCAGAGTGCCCCCCATGAGAAGCAGAAAAATTCTGCTCCCTGGACAAAAAGAACAAGGACATGGTTTCCCCAAATCTAGGATTAATTTTAAAGTATTAAAAAAAAAGAAAGGCTATGTTTTTATTTTAAAAACTCTTTTATGCAATAGTGAAAAACTCCAAAAATTTTTTTTTTCAGTATAGGGCCCTATGTTTTGTCTTACTATTCTGGGCACCCAGCACAGGGCCTGGTAATATTTGTTGCCTGAATGATATTTAGAACCATTTTTTTAATATATAACCTAGTGGTTCCCAGATCTTTGGAAAAAGTAGGTCAGTAAAACAAAATGTAAAAGAACATGGGGCACTGAAAACTTTCTATTTTACCATGTAAGGATGTTCAGTAATAATTACTACCTCAGACATCACCACAGTTTCATAAAGAAATGGTGTGGTTTAAGGGGCGCCTGGGTGGCTCAGTGGGTTAAAGCCTTTGCCTTCGGCTCAGGTCATGATCCCAGGGTCCTGGGATCGAGCCCCACATCGGGCTCTTTGCTTGGCCGGGAGACTGCTTCCCTTCCTTTCTCTCTGCTTGTCTCTCTGCCTGCTTGTGATCTCTGTCTGTCAAATAAATAAATAAAATTAAAAAAAAAAAAAAAGAAACGGTGTGGTTTAATATAAAAATGATAGGGAGAAAAACATTCTGGAATAAAGCCTGAAAGCAGTATTGTGGCCTCAGCCACATGCATACACACACATCTAAATTGTGCTTATTTTTCTCATTTTGCAGGCAGCCAGGAGAAGCTTGGTCACGGTCTGGCGCTGAGAAGCCCCAGATTCTTCTGGAATGCCGCCCAGACTTGAGAGATGTCTTAAGGGCCACTTAGTGTGTTCTCACTCTTTGCTGTTTTTTTCCAAACAGAGCACTATCCGAAAAAATCGTCTCAGTCCTGCCAAGGATGAAGTGTCCACACCAGCTGGAGCCCCACCAGATCCAGGGCATGGATTTTATTCACATATTTCCTGTTGTCCAGGTGAGAGCCTCTTCATGGTTTCTTGTCCTCTGCACGTCAGAATCCCCACAGCGGGTCTGGCTGTCAGGCCGCCTGGCCTAGGTCTTGGACCTCATGGGTGTGGTGTGGAATTGGTGGAGCCCGGCAGGGTGACGCTCCCTGACGGCATCCTCAGGAGACAGTACTCCATCCCTTCCACTCTGGTTTCACCATCGTCTGTCGTGATCTTTGAACGTTCCCATTAACTGGTTTTCATTGCCCTTTTGGTAAAGATAGAACTCCATAGCACCCCGTGCCCTGGACCTGTCCCACCTGTCGAGCCTGACCTTATTCTGTGCTCTTCTTTGTTCTTTCTGTTCTAGCTTCTCTCACTTTCTTTCCGATTTTCTCATACGTATTATTATGCTTCCTCCTGTCACAGGGCCTTTCCCTCAGGCTGCAAGGTTCTTCTCATTTCCTACTTAACCCATATTCATCTTTCAGATTTCAGTTCTACCAAACCTCCTCAAGAAAGCTTCCATTGACCCCCTCCTAATCTAGAACAGCGTCCTTTGCCGTATCCACTCCTCCTGGCCATATTCCTTTCCTTCGTAGGAATCTTCCTTGCTATAGTTTGTAACCATTTCTGCCCCTCCTATCAGACCATGAGCTTCTTGGGGGCAGGCACCATAGCTAGCTGCCTTGCTTACTGTAGTGTCTCCAGCACCTCGTGGAATGTCTGGCACCGTGTCGGCAGTTAGTCTTTATTTGATGACTGGATGTCTAATGGGAGCTAGTTTCCACCCTGGCTGTTTCCCAAGGCTCTGTGATTAAGTGGCTCACGCTGTACAACCCCCTACATCCTTGCAGTCTGGTGTCTCAGCCTCCTCCGGGCACTGTGAAGAGGAGACGCAAAGGGCCTGCTGTGTGAACAGCGCTTTGCAAATGATCCTTATAGAGTTCTTTGAAGCACCTATTATAATCCCAGTCATTATGTCTGAGGCAAGGAGATACAGAGAGTATCTGTATGAGTATGAGCAAAAACTGATTTGCTCAAGGGCAGAGAACTGGTGTGCAGACAAGCAAGATTCCCATCTGAACTCCTTGTCACTGGACCTTATACTGTTCCCACTCTGCCATTCATGCAGCCCCTGCTTGAAGAGTCTTCCAGTCCTGTAGTAAGATTATTATTATTAGTTAATATCTCAGTTAAGATATTATTATTAGACTGGAGACTTCTTGGGTTCAGATCTTGGCTCTGCCATTTAGCTGCATGACCTTGGGCAAATGACTTAACTTTGCATCTGTTAAATAGAAACAGTAACAGTACCTATCTGACAGGATGAGAATTAAGTACATTAATATGTAGCTAGCACTCAGCTGAGGAACCAGCATGTTTTAGTAAGTGCTTTGTAAGTGTTCCACAGTCGTTTCTGGTTTTGTTACTATGTTTGGGAACTTCTCCTGCAATACACTTTCAGTCAAATCCCATGAAGTCTGTAAATTGGAAGCTAAGGCTTTAACTCAGAATTTGATTCATTGGCTTGGTTGGACTTTCTCCCTCTGATGCAGCAGGAATGGTACATGGTCCTTTTTGTGAAAACAGGAAGTAGAGACCCTTAGTTGATTATCACTGAAACTTCCACCACCACCATGCTGTGAAGTTGTTGGCTTTTCCCCCAAAGCCTGAATCTCTAGTGATTCGACCTTACTCAGCCCTAGGGTAGAACTTTGAGTGCAAAACATCTGGTCCAGGTAGGAGAAGGTGATGAAAGGGAAGTGATCTTCTGTCGCTAGTTTGGGCTTTTAGAATATCTGAATGTTCTTTTTTTTTTTTTTTAAGATTTTATTTATTCACTTGACAGACAGAGATCACAAGTAGGCAGAGAGGCAGAGGCGGGGGAAGGAGGCTCCCTGCTGAGCAGAGAGCCTGATGTGGGGCTCGATCCCAGGATCCTGGGATCACGACCCGAGCCGAAGGCAGAGGCTTTAACCCACTGAGCCACCCAGGCTCCCCCATCTGAATGTTCTGTGCTGTACGTTGAATGCTGGAGGGCCTCCTATCTGGGTATGAGAACCAACATTAATAGTTACCAGATTTCTTAATTACGTGCGTCTGTAAAATTTTAAAGCAAAAATGGAGACTGATCTATGGTTGCCACCTGTATCTTGCCAGGCAAGAAATCTTTAAGAGTAACAACTATCAAAATAAACACTCTTAAATACAGAAAACAGACTGGTGTATGCCTGAGGGGAGGTAGGTGGGGGTTGAACAAAATAGGTGAAGGGAATAGTAAAGAGATACAAACTTACAGTTATTGAATAAATAAGTCCCAGACATGAAAAGTACAGCCTAGGGAATATAGTCAATACTATTGTAATAACATTGTGTGGTGACAGATGGTGACTGCATTTATTGTGGTGAGCACTGAGTAATGCATAGAATTGTCGAATCACTATTTTGTACACCTGAAACTAATATAACACTGTATTTCAGTTATACTTCAATAAAGAAATTATAACAACTGTCTTTCTCTGTCATTTCCTAAAAGAAAGGCCTTTTAACCCCCAATCTCAGAATAAAGGCTAGTCCCTTAAATGGAGTACTATGAAAGTATTATGAAAAACTAACCACATACTTGTAGATTTTGCCCATTTTGCTGGAGACCAGTAAAGAACAGTCATCAAGCTAGCTGTCTTGTGTACCTCTAGACGCTCACCACCTGTGCTCACACTCTGAATGCCAGCCCCGAGAAGAATGGGTCTAACTTCTAGCCCCGGTAGTTCTAGGTCCTATATTTTCCTTCCATGCCGGACATGGGAATCCTGTGAGGGTAGGTACTTTGCTTGAATGCTGGGGGCCCGCAGCAGAGCTCGGCTGTCTAAGAGGTTCCCTCCAAAGCCCTTCACTCTAGGACCTCCAAAACGGTGACCGATTCTCTGAATCCTAAGACTCCTTACCTTCCTTATCGTATCACACTCACCAGGATCCAGCCAAGTAAAAAGTCAGTGTAGATCTAACTCATGGAGGAACATCTGAAAAAGAAACAACTTTGAGAGTCCAGAAGCTGCATCTCCCCATCCAAAGAAAAGTAGAGAGAAGTTGAGTTGAGCAGGGAGTCAGCCTCCTTAGTTGTCTTGGGCTGTGATGCTGGGTGAGGTATGGGAGAGGGGCTACGGAATCTCTGAATACTGTCCAATCTTTTGTCCTTGCTTCTGGCTTTTAGTGCCTGAGGTCCTTGTTTGGAGGTGGGGTGAGTGGAGTCATGGAAACAAATGAAACTAACAATAAAGAAATACTCCTGGGGCGCCTGGGTGGCTCAGTGGGTTAAGGCCTCTGCCTTCAGCTCAGGTCGTGATCCCAGAGTCCTGGGATCGAGCCCCGCATCGGGCTCTCTGCTCGGCGGGAGGCCTGCTTCCTCCTCTCTCTGACTGCCTCTCTGCCTACTTGTAGTCTCTGTCTGTCAAATAAATAAATAAATAAATAAAATCTTAAAAAAAAAAAAAAAAAGAAATACTCCTCCTAGAGTTCTTTGCAGCCATCCCCATCTTGGGCAGCGATTTCCTGAACATGTCCTTTACTTGAGTTAGCTGTCCTCTGAGCAAGCATCCCGTCCATCCCTGTAGGAGCACCATGCAGTATGCCATGTGTCTGCTTTCCTTGGTAGCTAAGGCTTGCCAAGTATGCTGCGCTCATGGGGAAATACAGCTACTGTCCATATACTGCTTTCGAGATGTACTAGCTGTCTGGACAGAGCATGGTGACTCAGACAGATGGCATCCCCCTCCATGATGCTCTTTCGTTATAAAGGGATTGCATGAAGAGCCAGGGAGGAGAGGCAGAGGCTGTGTTTCTGTATCCACATTCTTACTCTCAGCACCTGCATCTTCCACAGGTCCTGGGGGTGTGTCTGTGTGTGTTGTCACTAACTGGAGCTTTAAGTGGGGAGCAATGAAGAACAGCTACTTCTGCATATCAGCCCAGTACAGCTAGAAAACAAATAAAACCTGTATGTCCAGTCTTCCGGTGTGGGAGAGACTCTGAGACTCGCAGCCTTGTGCTTGCTACCTGCGGAGCAATTGACAGATCACATGGTTTCTGAGCCTCAGGTTCTGGACCGCGTGGCTGGCATGATATTGTGTGGATTAAGACAGCAAATGCTGGGGTGCCTGGGTGGCTCAGTTGTTTGGGCAACTGCCTTCGGTTCAGGTCATGATCCTGGAGTTCCAGGATCGAGTCCCGCATTGGGCTCCCAGCCCCGTGGGGAGTCTGCTTCTCCCTCTGACCTTCTGCCCTCTCATGCTCTCTCTCTCTCAAATAAATAAATAAAAATCTTTAAAAAAAAAAAAAAAAAAGAGCAAATGCTGTGAGTGTCTCGCTCCCTTGAAGCCTAGGGCTGTGTACTCAACAAGCCTGTCCTCAAATCTGAATTTTTGGGAGGTCGTTGCAGTCAGTGAAACAAGGGATCGTACTAGAGGTTCTCTGAGGCTCTCTTCCCTCTCTCTGGTCTGTGGCGCTGGCAGCACAAGAAAGAGTGATGTTCAGATCTGCCACTAGAACCAGGGGGCTATGTGACTATATTCGTGTTGTGCTTCAGGCATTTACAGAACATTCTAATTCTTAGGATTTCATGTCCTCCCACAGTAGCTCTGTGAGGTGAAAGAAATGATATATTCTCACCTCTACACAGAGGGAAACTGAGGCCTGAGCATCCAACGTGAGGCTTTAAGCCTCTTGCACAGCGGCTCTGCTTTTGATCCCAATGGATCTCAGCATCTCGGACGCCCAACGGGCTGCTTTTCACATAGGACAGTAGGTGTGGATAGTTTCTCATCACTCAGCCAGTTCAGATATTGGGTTCAAGTGATTTGGGTTCACAGGTTGTACCGTCTCTGAGTCGGCCTTTGCCACAGTGATGGTTCATCCCAAACCTCACATTTCCCACCTTTCTTTTCCAGTGGCTGGTGAAGCGAGCTATAGAAACCAAGGAAGAAATGGGGGACTACATCCGCTCCTACTCCATATCCCAGTTCCAGAAAACCTACAGTCTCCCCGAGGTCAGTATTCTCCTTTTCTTTTCTTGTCCAGTGTACATGAGTGTACACTTAGAGACTCCCCAGGGAGGAGTGGAGTAAACTCAGACCTGTCTGCGGGATGTCTGTGCCCCTGCCTGGCCAGCATTGATAGCAGGCCTCCTGGCTCGTCAGAACTGCCTCTTTAAATGGGCACTGGTGTAAAGCTCTGCAGTCTTGTCCTTTTCTCTCAATTTTAGTACTTGAGTCAGAACTCTTATTAAATTATAAGAACATGAGTGTATTTTTTAATGATTGTATAAAGCTTTTTGAGAGACCACCTAGGTCATTGTCTAGGGCATTCCTATAGTACCAGTTTAATAATAACCTCCCCCACTGCGATAATAACACATAGCTATTGAGTCCTTACTACTCAGTCTCAGCCCATCACATGCCTTCTCTTTAAGCTTCATAGCCACTCCTTGACATAAGTGGTGGGGTCCCTGTTAACAGACGGTGAGACTGAGGCTTGGAGACTGGGTCACTTGCCGTGGGTGTCTGAGCTCATCAGGGTTTGAATGAGAACACTTGGCTTCAGTACTACACTCCGTGGTCCCCCTCTTTCTTACCACTGTGGGACCTGTTCTGGAGCCATCTGCAGAGGCCCTGGCTTCTTCCTGTGAACGTTATCCTGCAGGCAAAGCTGTGATGAGAAATCAGTTTCTAAGACAGGTTTCTGAGAAGTCCTGTTGAGTTTCAGTCTTCACATACCATTTGTTTGATCCCTGTGTTTTGTCTTGCAGGATGATGACTTTACAAAGAGAAAAGAAAAGGCCATCAAGACAGTTGTTGACCTTTCAGTAAGTTACTCTGCCCCTGTGTGAGAGAAGGACATAGGTTCATAGCCTCCAAATAGCCCCGTGATTCAAATCCCAAAACCCTTGCCCAGTCCCTCCTGGGATTGCCCAGGTGCTGACCTCAAGTAGGTGTGTGAGGGAGGCCTCGCTTACCTCAGTGTCCATACCTGGACACTGGCATTCATGGGTAGAAAATGCCACAGCCGCTGCCCTATGTTTTTCTTAGTTCCAGTTTTCTGGGAGGAATTTTCCAGATCCATAGTCTTTCCTCATTTGTGCCAGTGGCAGGTGTCAACTTTGAAGAGCTCCTTTGAACTGGAGCTGGCAAATTGAGGTTAGCACCCTATGATGGCTCTGGAGAGGCAGAGCAGCTCCTGAGTTTTGTGTGACAAACTGGGATGGCCTTGGCCACCCACACAGTGGATCTTAACTGTGGAGTCTGCACTCACGCGCCCACTACCCCGGGTGCAAGGGGCAGCAGAGAGCTTTTCAAACCTTTCTGGGCCAGCCCAGCAGAACCTTATTGCCGGCGCACACCCCACCCAGCCCCAGCCTTCCTACCGGAGCTGCTGGGAATGAAGGGGCAAGTTCGCTTCCTTCCAAAAATAATGTGCCCAGTTATTTTGCATTTCCCCCTACTTTAAGAATAAATATGTGGTCTTCCAAGGTGATCACTCTAAAAAGAATAAGAATCATTCGATGATGTGAAGTGCTCATTTAAAACAAGAAAAGTCTTTGTGACTTTAGAGTTGTAATTTCTTTCTTTTTACAATTCCATTTTGGAAATGGAAGGAGTAGAAAACTTTCAAGACAGTTACACTCTGAAGCTAGACACTATTCGCAGATATGGTGGCAGTATCAGATAATAATAACAGCAGGACATGATATGACTTCAGAGTAATTGTTTTCCCCTGATCATGAAATAGTTGTTCTGTTTAGACATCCTTAAAGTTTTTTGGGTTTTTTTTTTAAGGTTGATAGATACAGAGGAACAGAATCAGCCTTAATGTCACAGCACAGAAGCAGCTTCTTTTGATGCTTGGACATATTTCTTCCTTTTTTTTTTTTTAAGATTTTATTTATTTGTCAGAGAGAGAAAGAGAGCACAAGCAGGGGAAGTGGCAAGCAGAGTAGGCAGGAGAGAAGCGGACTCCCCCTGCTAAGCAGGGACCAGGGATCATGATGGGAGCTGAAGGCAGACATGTAACCAACCGAGCCACCCAGGCACCCTCTTCCATGTTTTTAATGTGCATTTTTATACTGAGCTGGAGTCATACTTTGAATATAATTGTGTTTTTTTAAACTTACCAATGTAGTGTCTTTGAAAGCTATTAAGGATTCCTCCTAACTACATTTGTCATGAAAAATAGTAACTGATTTGTTACTAAACTGAAGGCTGTTTCCCTCTCCTTCTACCCTTTTCCCAGGTCTGCCCTTCACATGCCTCCTCAGTGTTTCTTACCTGTTCCTTACCGATGAATCTAGAATCCCAAACTTAAATTGTGAATGGTAACTTACGGATTCAAATAAGGTCCCAAAATAGGTGCCTAATTTCCAGACCCAGCCTTCTAAAACATACATCTGTAGCTGCCACATACTGATTGAGGGCCTTTTATGTGTTTGGCACCTCATTAGGCCTTTCCCAAGCATCCTCTCGTTAGCTCCTCCCCAACACTCAGCGAGTTACATATTATTATTTCTGTTTTATAAATCAGAAGCTTGAAGCCAGAATGGTTAACAGATTCCCTCCATATTTGCAGAATAGGAAGAAGCAGCCAGATTTTGATTTTACATCAGATCTCAAACATGACAGGTGTGGTGCTCCTCCCATTTCCTCTCTTTGCCTGGACTCTGATTTCCCACGAACTCCTGGCACCAACTTACGGCAACTTTCCTGGCTTATTTCAGGCTCTGAGATGTTACTTATCTTGGTCCCAGAGATTCGGAGGCATCTAGAGCAGCAAGGTGTTCTCTTGCCACCTCTTCAGTCCCCTGCGGGATCATTTTCTGTGACTTTCCTACTTGAAAACCCTTTGTCCAGCTAGAGAATGTCTGCCAAGTGGAAACTATCGTGTTGTCTTTCTTCATCTATGAACATAATAACATTGCACCTCAACCAGCAGGCTTTTACTTATTCTTACTTAGATATAACCTCTTCTTAAAAAATAAATATTAAACCTTTTAATATTTTTAAAAAATATTTAGCTTATTCTTGTGGCACCTGGGTGGCTCTGTCGGTTAAGCCTCTGCCTTCGGCTCAGGTCATGATCCAAGGGTCCTGGGATCGAGCCCCACATCGGGCTCTCTGCTCAGCAGGGAGCCTGCTTCCTCCTCTCTCTCTGCCTGCCTCTATACCTACTTGTGATCTCTGTCTGTCAAATAAATAAATAAAATCTTAAAAAAAAAGTAAAATATTTAGCTTATACTTACCCTTATAAGACTGTTCCAGTCTTTTACATTTGTCCTTGGTTATGTAGCCCAGCCATTTTTTGGTGCATGATTTTTTGTTTTAAAAAAGCCTGTATTTATTTGGTACTAGTAACTTAGTAATAATAACAAAAGATGAAGAAATGGGGAAAAATTACAAAGACTAAGTCACCATGATGCCACCAGCCAGGGATAATTACTGATATATATTCCAAGTAGGAAATACAGAGTTAGGGATATCAATACAAAGAAGTAGAGATCCCTAAAAATGGCATTACATTGTATATTCTATTTTGGTTTTTGCTCAGCAGTGTAATTGAGACTGTCTTTCCCCATAGCCTTTTTTACTGGCTATAGATTATTCATTATGTGGTATTAATTTAACTAGCTTACTTTGTATCTTATTTTTTCTTTTGGCCACTGTGTAGGATATTCTTACAGCTAAGTTTTTCCTTTTATCTTTATTTACTTAGGAAATATTGGATGAAATGGATTTGGGTCAGAGGTTATGCCTAAGGCTGTTAGTACCTCTTGGCAGATTGCCAGGCAGAAAGACTGCTGTGAACTTGAATTTCTGCACTCATCACTTTGAGGTTTTCTCTCTTTGTCTTGGCCTCATTTTTCTTCCTCTTGGGGATTACTCCCAGTACTTCGGCTTTCTTCTTGAAATGTGTTACTTCTTGGCTTCTCCATACCTTCTTTTTACAGAGTAGCTAGCTGCTTTGTAGAAGTCCTGCTGATGGGAGGTGTATTTTCAAAGCACGTAAGAAATCAAAACTCTTGCCACCCAGGACAGGTCCCCCCTTACCACCTTCTCCTTTTCGTGTCATCACATAGTTGCTCATTTGCTTCACTTAGCCTGTTGTACAGCTTCCTTCCTCCTTGTCTCAGCCGTCAGCCTTCATATATCTCATGGGTGTGTTCTGTGCAGTGAGGTCTGTTACTCCAGTTACCCTGGAGTAAAGAGTACCTGTGAAATTTTACCCAAAGCTCCAAAAAGTAATTGCTTACTATTCATTGAACACTTTTTGGTAATATTTAGAATTTTGTGTAAGAATAGAAGGGGGGAAAGGACCCTTAGAACTTCCAGTTTAGTTGAAGAAAATGCTTTGCGGAACTGATGGGATCACCTAGGAGACCATGACATTTGAAATTATTACTGCAGAAATGCTATGAGGAAGGCCTTTTCATTCAGTACATAAAATACAGATGTGGCTGCATACATAAAAAAATGTTAGTACATTTTATCAATAATACTATATTAAAAACAGATCTCTTGGGCTCAGTTGGTTAAGTGTCCAACTCTTGATGTTGGTCAGAGATTTCTTCTCTCCCTCTCCTCTGCCCCTTCCCCCCCCAACCAAAAAAAAAAATATATATGTATAGCTATCTTAGATATACATACATAGATATATTTATATCTATGGATATCTATATATATCTTAGCTTAGATATATATTATCTAACTTAGCTCTTGCTGTGTGTCAGATACTATGGAATAATCCTCATAATAACCGTACTTATATCTTTTTTATAGATGGAGAATCACAGAGGTTAAAGTAACTTGCCCCAAATCAGGCAGGTAGTAAGGTAAACGGGGTTAGGACTAAAAGCTTATCTGTGCACGTATGCATTCAGTAATGTTAGTTGCACACTCACCATGTGCCCCATCGCACTGTAGGAGGTGAGGTCAAAGCAGTGAATTTCCGTCAGTAAGGGAATCAAGGGAATTTGGGGGTCTCTTCAAGGAAAAAGATACAACCACGAGGGGGCAGCAGCGCACAGAAGCTATACTGGGGTGATGCTTTGACAGGTGAACTTGTAGGATGGGGCAGTCAGTCTCTCACAGCAAGCCACCATCCAGAGTTCTAGGCGTCAGGGCTGCATCCTGAACGGGAGGGGAGCAAGGGAACCCTCTGGGGTTCCTGGAGATTGTCCAGGTGCCTCGGCAATGTCACAAAGCAACAGCACAGAGATTGTGTAGTCAGAGATCTCTGAAGGAGATTTGCAACAGCAGTTTTGGGTCTTTCCAGGACCAGGGCTTACCCTATCAGTGGTCAGCACATGCAGTTGTATAAAGTATATGACACAAACAGGCTGTCAGTGGCTAACAATCTGCCTATTTGGGCCACATTTGAAATAACTAGATGTATAAAAATTGGAGTTTGGCCCTGGCATGCTTTTGAGCCAGTAGGTTTCAGCCTGCTGTGAGGAAATAAACCTAAGAGCCAAAGTGCAGAAGCCAACTCCGGCCCCTCTTTTTAATACAGTGACCTTCGTCTTACCCAGCAAATTACACTGGAGCCCTGCGGTGGGATGTGTGCTGGTCCTGAAGGAGCAGAGCAGAGCTCATGTGAAAGAGAAGAGAAAAGGGAACAAAGTCTGGAGAAAACTCTCCCTCCCCAGCTAACTTTCCTCCCTGCAGACATGTTCCTCTCTCCAGAAATGGTCGCCATCCATCGATCTCCCATTTCCTTCACTTAGTACCTAGGGGCTTTGTTTCCTTTGTTGTTTTATAAGTGTGAGAATGGAAAGAAGAAAAAAAAAAGCAAATGTATTTGTCCCAGATATAATAACTTTTTCCTACAGGATCTTTCAGGACACTGGTCTTGATGGTGGAGATGTCTGTGGAGCCCTGTTAGGTGAAGCAGACTTAGTTTGTGGGGTACCTGGGCTGAGGTGTGTCTCTGAGAGTTGAGCCCTGAGAAATGTGTTCAGGTCAGCGGAGGCCAGTCAGGGGAATGTCAGTTCCTGCTGACCCACGTGTGGCCTGGCGCACTGGAGCTCTTAACCAGAGAAGGCCAAGTTGGTGGTGGCTGTCTCCCTGCCTGCTCATTATTTCAGAAAGGAGAAACCCTCCGTAATAGTGACTGGTCTGTGCTGCAGACCCTGCCCCAGTGTTGTGCTCTTCCACCTTCCACCTCCCTTCCCTGCCATTTGAAATGTGACTCAGGAATTCTTCTAACCAGTGTCTTGTAGCCACACCCGTAAGGTAGAAATCTGTGACTCTCACAGTGCCAGAGCTCTGCTTTACTAAAGAGTCACTTTAGTATTCTCACCCTGCTCATATGTCCTTCAGCACAGAGAACAAGAGCCTATTCAAGGACTATTAGTCTAGCCCTGGTTTTACAGGTAATGGAACAGGCCCATTGAAGGGAATTCCCAAGGTCACAGAGCTAGTTAATGGCATACCCCAGAATAGACATCAGTGCTGACTTCTGATGCTTTAAAGGGTGACTTAGCAATAGTTTTTTAAGTTGGCCTGAAAACCTCTGACATTTAGGTCCTTGTTATTTAAGCAACCATTGTAATGATCCATATGGCAGCCTTGGGTATACACGGTGGTCTTGTGAGAGGACTCATTTGAGATCACCGGAGGGTGGCGGGAATGCCCACCAGAAGCAAGTGAGTGTATTAGAAGAACCCTGGGACTAGCAGTCAGGGGACCTAGGACCAGGTCTAATACTATTTTAGAGATCTTGGACAAATTATTTAATCTCTGCTTCTTAAGTAATAAAATGGGGGTAAAAGCATCTGCCTTGTCTCTACCTCTGGGAACAGTTATGAAATGCAAAGATGAGGGGCACCTGGATGGCTTAGTGGGTTAAAGCCTCTGCCTTCAGCTCAGGTCATGATCCCAGGGTCCTGGGATCGAGCCCCGCATCAGGCTCTCTTCTCTGAGGAGAGCCTACTTCCCCCCCCGCCCCGCCTGCCTCTCTGCCTACTTGTGATCTCTGTCTGTCAAATAAATAAATAAATAAATGCAAAGGTGAGACGTATATGAGGCGTTTTCAAGTATAAGGAATAATTACACAAAGGCCAACATTGTCACTGTTTCCCAGAATAAAAGGTCCTTGTAGCTGTTGGTTTCAGTATGCTATTGTTTTGGAGTCAGTCCTTTTTTTAGAAGAATCCAATTTCCTGTCTTAGCTCATTGACTCTATCAGTGGTAACTAAGGAAGATAGCAGTTAAGCTCAATTATATAGTACTGCTGTAATAGTAGAGCTCAGCGAGAATTAAATCATATTCAGTAACTGACGTCATGCGGATTCGTTATGTGTTGCATTTCCCCATGAATCTGTTTTACATTATTTATAGCTTCCTATTCATGTAGGCACCAGCAGCAAACTAGGAATTATTTCTGGCAGCAAGTTACAAGAACACTCCAGCGTCATCCCAGACCCTAGACCATTCCTTTTTATTTATTTATTTTTTTACAAAATTGTAAAATTATATGGTATATGTTACAAAAGGATGTTTTTCTGTATGTTTGAAACTTTTTGTAATAAACAGTAAAATACTAAAGTTAAGAATTATCAAGGGAGGTACAGTTCTACTTGGAATAAAAATCCACTCTCTGAAGAAACCGGACAGTGGTGCTTGTCCTCGTGATGTCCAGGTAGAGGCTAGTTGTGATGAGCTCTGGTCGTGGAGAAGAAAAGATCAGGGACGAACAACTGAAATGCCTTCCTTGCATAAATATTTGCCTACTTGCACCCAGAGCCCTGAGCACATTTTCCTAAGATACTATTTGACTGCCAGCTTGACACTCAAGGAGGACATTAATTTGGGGCAGAATGCTAAGTCAGGTCATCTGGGAGTGAAGAACTACATTAATTGAGCACCTACTACACCCCATGTACTTTGTTCAAGAAATATATATATATATATATATATATATATATATACTTTCAGAATTTGTCCTATACAAAATAGATCTATGTTTGTTCTACATTTATAATTAAGTTACATTCTAGTAATTTAAAAAGTCAGTGAAAATTGATAGAGCATCTGTGTTTCTATACACCTTTTTTGGGATAAACCTTAGCCCAATACTTTTGTAAAAAAGTTGTTATCGCTGAAGGTTTTGTAGCTGTTCTTCTTTTCTGCTGTTAAAGTCTAAGAATTGAAATCTCCTTTACCATTTAAGCATTTTTTTTTTTTTAAAGGATTCTGGGTTAAGCTATACACCAGAATTTTTTAACTGGTTAAACTGGTCGCTTAACTGGTTTGTGGCTCTGGGTGGTGGAAAGGTCTGGATATGTAGTGACTAGAAAGTTTGTATTTTTTTCTGGAACATTTTATGGAATAAAATCTGAATAGAAAAATAAACCTTGCTTCCCAGGGCAAGATTCAATATTATAAATATGCCAGTTCTTTCCAAAATAATCTGTAAATTTGGTATGATTCTAATCAAAACTCATCAGTTACTTATTATGAACCTGACAAGTTGATACTAGAATTCATTTGAAAGAGAGAATGCTTACAATAGCCAGGAAATTTGAAAACGAACAGTGGAGACAGGATAAAGGTTCACAAAGCAAGAGGAATTGAAGAGGGTAACATTGGTACATGTTCCTTTCACATATGCCATTTCAAAAGACTTTATTTATTTAAAGATTTTATTTATTTCACAGAGAGAGATCACAAGTAGGCAGAGAGGAAGATAGAGAGAGAGAGAGAGGAGGAAGCAGGTTCTCCGCTGAGCAGAGAGCCTGATGCGGGACTCCATCCCAGGACCCTGAGATCATGACCTGAGCCAAAGGCAGAGGCTTAACCCACTGAGCCACCCAGGTGCCCCACATATGCCATTTCAGATCAAGTGAAGGCTAGACTATTAAATTGATGATGTTGGGATTCTTAATTTTCTATTCAGGGAAAAAAGTTTCTTAATAGAATAAAAAGCTAAGTATAACCTGTACAAGTAACAGACAAGAAGTTTATTTTTTGTTTTTTTGTTTTTTGGGGTTTTTTTGTAACAATCCCTGGTAATAGGTAAGATATAAAACGACTGATAAGTTTGACCACAAAAAATATTAAAATGCCAAAGTACAGAAGAAACACCAAGGGGGCGCCTGGGTGGCTCAGTCAGTTGAGTGTCCAGCTCTTAGTTTCTGCTCAGGTCACGATCTCAGGGTCATGGGATTGAGCTCCTGTCAGGCTCCCTGCTCAGTGGGGAGCCTCCTTGGGGATGCTCTCTGTCTCCCTCTGCCACACTCGCTCTCTCCCTTTCTCTAAAAATAAATGAATAAATCTTTAAAAAAAAAGAAAAGAAAAGAAACACCAAGTTAAAGTTGACAAGCAGTATCTTGAGTGGAAATATTTATTAACTGTGTGAATGTCAAAGGAGCGACCTCCTTGAGGCAGCCGCCCTGAGTGCCCACTATTACACCAGCAGGCAGTTCAGAAAGGGAGCGTTCTCACACTCAGTAAGCCGTCTGTCTCATTCACTTCTTAGGATGTTTACAAGCCCCGTCGGAAATACAAACGCCAGCAGGGAGCAGAAGAGCTGCTCGATGAAGAATCCCGAGTCCATGCCACACTTTTGGAATATGGCAGGTAACGAAGGAGACCCAGGCTGAAGTGTCTGTTTTATAAAGCCTTTGAAAAGAAAAGCTAATTTAGGTTGCTTCACTGAGATTAATTTGGTTGTGTTTTTTGTTTTTTACCTGATTGAATTTACTGTTTCTCACCCAAGATTTCCATCACCGGAGACTTTCCTCTCTGGGGTTGACTTACCCACATTTCTGTGGGTAGCATTCCCAAGGGTGGGGGAAGCCTGGTTTTTGCAGATCCCCTTTGGAAATGTGTGTATGACTGTGGGCCCTAGCCCTGCCCTCCTGGGGACTTGGGGTGTTTGGGGTATTTGCTGAGGCCAGCTGTAGTCTGCCCTTCATATTCCTGCCATTGGTTAAAATCTTCAGGTAAACTACAGAATCGAAAGCAGTTAACAGTAGTTTTAAGCGTTAGAGTAGTAATTTTGATTTCCCGTGAGGGATTTTCCTGAGCAGGAAGATGAAGAATTTAGAAGTATTTTGTCATTTCTTAATAACCTTTGTAATTTTTTTTAAAATACCAGTTATCTTTTATTCTCATTTTTTACTTAAAAAGCACATAAAGAAGTGCTGTTCTCATTGAATTTCTTGGTTGATCTTGGGTATTAACCTTCACTGATGTCCTGCATTTTCTACTTAGGGTGACTGATCCCTTGATGTGAGTATGTCTCCTTGTGCTTCCTTTCTTTATGCTGAGAGTGGTTGCTGTGTGTTGCCCTGTCTAGTAACCCAGCCCTCCTCCGGTGGCTGGAACTAACAGCTCTGACCCCAGCACCTCCCTGTGTGAGCATCTGAAGGCTTCCCCACTCTGAGGCACTAGAGAGAACCAGAAAGAAGTTCGGCTTCATTGGCTTAAATACTTCTCTTTCATATGGAAAACATTTCCCAAAGAAGTCGCCACCTTTTTTCTTCCTTTTTCTTTGGGAGGGAGTTGTGTGGCATCAGGTCCGTCCTTCCTAAGAGTGAAAGCTAGTGTGTTTCATTCGAAGGAAGGTGTGAGTTCTGGCCCTTAGCCAGGTCTGATGTCTTCTCCTCGCAGCTCCCCAGTTGCTGCTGTGAATTGAACTCCTCTTCCGAGTCAGGCACCACCAAGCCATCTACATAATTTGTGGGGCCCAGGATAAAATGAAAATGCAGAGCCCCTTGTTAAGAATTGCTAGCAATGACTAATTATTAGGAATTTCAGGACCACAAAGACAGCCAAGCATAGGGCCCTTCTGAGTATTGGGCCCTGAGCAGCTGGACGGGTTGTGAGTCCTGGGCCCTGGGATGGAGTTTTCCAACCAAGCCCCAGCTGTAGGTGGGCAGGTGGGGCCATACTGCCCCAGTTGAGCCATGGTGGAGAGACCACCTCTCTGGGTGTCACATGTTCCAGAGCCCAAAAATATTCAGGGAGTGTTATGGTTTTCTTAGTTTGTATTGTTCATACCTCCATTTTTTGGGCATTGTCACGGAATACTCAGATGCTCCTAGGGATGAAAAGGAGTCAAAGATTTGGTGAATTGTCTGCCTTACCAAGACCAGGCTGACAATATTTCACTATTTTTTTTTAAGATTCTCAGTTTTAAACTGGCTTTTTGGCATGTGTCATAGAGGGCAGTCATTATTGTCATGTGATTACCGGGTGACTTTAGGATGTCCGTGCCCATCCTCAGGAGTGGTTGGTGCAGTTTGGGTCCAGAGCCTGGTGAGGCTTTCTCTAGGGAAGGGAGCAATGCACAGGTTTTCTTCTGTGACTCCTCTCAAATTTGGAGCGTAAGAAAGAGCAGAGTGTATCAATGTCGATCTTGGTTCCTGTTGGTGGGGTCAGGCTACCTTCTGCTGAGTTCTGATCTTAGGGTGGGTGTTTGCTGAAGGATTTTTTTTTTTTTTTTTTTTTTTAGGAAAGAGGTTATTTTTCTCTTTTTAGCTTTCCTGATGAGGTAATGGTGAGTTTGTGAGAGGTGGGGAAGTGGATACTTAGGACCTTCTGATGGTTCAGTCACCTCAGTTCTCTTTTTTTGAGAATGGTCAAGATAGCCTCAGAAAATTTAAGAAGTAACCTGCCCAACATCAACTATTAACTACTCTTAAGAATTATTAAGAGCCTCACGCTGGGACTTGAACTCAGGTGTGTTGGACCCTGATAACGTGCTCTTATCATTAGCTACAAGTATTGTTTGAGCCTCCAGGGAAAGTTTGGCTCTGGTTTTAGGAAGACAGGCCCAGTCTTTATTGTTTGGTCTGACACTGAACAAGAAGCGAGTGGTCATTAAAACTGACAGAACAAATTGGACAAAACTTAAAGCTCCACCAAGTATGCATTTCATTCCCCCTTCTTGGGAAAGCACTCCCCTCCTTTCTGGCCATCAGACTTTCTCCTCAGGGTTTGGTCAGTACTGTCCCCTAGACAAATGGTCTTGCCCGTTAAATGAGGATTACATAATAATACACATGTGAAGAATTCTGAGAAGTTTGTCCGGTGCAGAAAACAGTGAATGTCAACTGCTAAGCTCTGTCAGCAGTAGCAACAGTTTTCAGTTCTCAAATGCCCTTAAATATGACCTGTAGATTCAAATGTGCCTCTTCTTTTAGTTCTCCTTGTCCCTGTACTCTGTACCCCTAGCACTAGCCCCCCTGAACCCCTGCTGAGAGGTCTAACCCACTCTTCCTCCTTCCCTTCCCCAGTCAAGCAAGGTGAGGCCTCCACTGGCCCTGGGATTCACCTTCCATCCTGTCTCTCCCTTTGGTGTGAACATCATGGCACCCCTGAATTGCTCATCCCCACCACCTAGGAATCCACATCCCCCATCTCTTGTCTGTGCCTCTGGTTTCCTCTGTATCTCACCTCTTGATAAGAGGGCAAGTATTTTGACTCCTGGAGTAAGAAGGTCTGAAACTCTTTGGGGTTGAAGGTTATTCATTAGCCTAGGCCCACAGTGCATCTGGCTTTGAGGTCAGTGTTCAGCTTCTTTCACCTTTTTGACTTATTTGCTGAAATGAAGTTGGACTTTGAGTCCTGTCAGCCATGCTGAAGGCCTTAAGGACTGTGTATGCCTGTTCATGTTTGGATAGATTTGTTTAAGTGTTATGATATTGGAAAAACAAGACTCACAGTTTTGATTTTAGACTTCAACAAAATTGCAATTTTATACTATTTCAGTTTTTAATGTGTCCAGTCAGCTTTTAGGAGCTAAATTAAAACACCTACCTGTGCTGTAGAACTGCCGCTGTGGGGAAATGCATTTTATGTGCAGTATATTTGACTTTGTTAAAGCCCAAGTCTCAGCCAAGTACATTTGAAGATCTAATTGGCTTTATTAAGTGATTCATGAACCCAGCAGCCTCCTATGAAGCAAGTAGAAATGAGCTTCCATGAGCTGTACAAAACAGTAGGTTTTTATAGGAAGGAGGATAGGGTAAGAAGTTACTAGCAAAAGAAAACAAAGGATTGTTTCAGTCAAGGTCACCTTCCTTTAGGGAGAAGAAAAGGAGTCTTTTTAGGTGATTACCTCATCTTCCTTTGGAGGATGGAGAGGGCCCTTATGACAGATTACCTCTGTCCAAAAAATTCTAGATAGTTTGACTTGAAATTCCACTCCTGGAGGGGTTGAAACTCTGTCTCGGTTTGCTGTCACAGCAGCAAGTGACTGTACCTTGGGCCTGTGACTCTCTCCAACAACCTGGAGGTAGAATTTTGAAACATAACCACTAGAATCCTAGCATTAGCCTTTTCCACACTATTTGAGGCCTAATTTTAGTTGCTTTGAAGTCATTCTGTTCCTTAGTAAATGAAATATGACATGACTCTCCCAACCTGTTTGTATCCTCTGTGATGGCAAGGCCTGTGACGTGCTCATGGAAGGTATCTCGTACATGCTTGTGGAATGAACGGAGAACGGGGTCCACAGTCCTTACTGTTTAGGGCGTTGCGTTTTGTTTTGTTGTGTTGTGTTTTAGGAACACTGGAGCTTTATTTAGTTGAGTTTTGTTTTTTTTGTATATATAAAAGCAGTACGTGAGTTAAAAGAAATCTAAGTTCACAGATGTACATATGTATGTCAAAACTCATCCAGTTACACTTGTTAAATACCTACAATTTAGTGTGTTTTTTTAAATTATTTTTATTAAAATATAATGTATTATTTGCCCCAGAGGTACAGGTCTGTAAATCATCAGGCTTACACAATTCACAGCACTCACATAACACATACCCTCCCCAATGTCCGTAAAGCATCCACCCTATCCCTACCCCCTACCCCCAATTCAGGGCTTTTTTATGCCCCTGTTTTGTTCAGGATTTCAGATAGTTTGATACCAGACTTAATTTGCCCTGCAGCACTTGTTTTTGAAGGTTAGTTTGTTTTCTAGAACTGTGATGTCCAGTGCTGTAGTATTAGCCATATGTGGCTGTTGAGTACTTGAAGTTTGACCAGTGTGACTCAAGAACAGAATTTTAATTTTAATTAAGTTACATTTAAAGACTCATACTTGATTTAGTTATTGGGAAAAGTTTAAGTTTAAAGTAATTTGAATATGTGAACCTACTAATTTAACGTTATCTATTTGGCTCTCATTCCATTTTTTTTAGACTAGGCTGTTCTAGAAGATGTTCTTGATGTTAAAGATCAAGTGTGAGGTGTAGGAAGTGAGGAGGTAAAGTGGGCGGTGAGAGGCCAGAGTTCTGTTGGTGCTGACAGGGTAGGACATCAGCGGGGCTGGTGGCTCAGAGCTAACACAGGGAAAGGTGGGAACAAATTAAAGCATCTGGTAGCACCGATCCCGGACTGGCCTTTGTGAGGAAGGGGCAGGGCAGACAGGGCAAGAGGAGAGGGAGTTGGGAGGGCAGAGCAGCACACCTGTGAAAGATAAAAGTGAAGTAAATGCTTGTAGCAGAAAGAAGGTGAAGCATCCCCTTGTTCTTTGTGAGGGATGCTAGGCCAGACAGGGATACATGTTCTCCTGGTGAAGCTCAAACAACATGGAAGTCTCCCAGAGACATCTTGGCCAGTGAACGTAATGAGGCAGGCATTAATAGGCAACCGAGGACAGCTCTTTGTCCTGGAAGCCTTGTCACCATGTCACATGGAGAAGGAGAGTTTTAGAAAAATCAGCTGGACTCTACTCATTCAGCATCCATTGACTGAGTACCTACTATGTGCCAGGCACTGTTCTAGGTGCTGGGGATACAAAAGTCAGTGGAGCTGTCTGAACCACGCTGAGTGAAGAAGCCAGTCACAGAAGGCCACCCAAGGTTCTGTGTATATGATATGTCCAGAACAGGTGAATCCCTCAAGACGGAAAATCAATTAATGGGATTTGAGATGAGCTTCTGATAGCTATGGAGTTTCTTTCTGGAGTGATGGAACTATTCTGGAATTACATAGTGGTGATGGTTGCACAAATAGTGAATCCGCTAAAAGACCACTGAAGTGTATAGTTTCGAATGGTAAATTTTATGTGATACGAATCATATCTCAGTTTAAAAAACTATTTAAAAAAAAATGAGTGAAGTACTCCTTCCAGGAGTGCAATAGACAGATTTGTAGGATCAGATGTAATTATTGTAGCCCTTGGGATGAGCACACTGGTGCCTAACCCAGGCCGTTGGGCGGTCAGAAGCTTCTTCCCAAAACCTCTGTCTTTACGAAGGAGTAGAAGAGGCAGGAACTGAGTCACTCACATTGAGTTGCTTACTGCTTTATTTGGAAAATCCAAAAAGTTCTGGCTCCTTAGATGAGGCCTCTCTGTCTGAGGGTATGTCGTCTGCCCTAATGGTCTCCACAGACTAGACCAAGGACACCCAAGGTACAAGGTTACTTCTAGGCATGGGGAACTGTGGTGAGATCCTCTATTGGTCAGGGATCGCTGGGTGAGAACACAAACCCTCCAGCTAGTTCCAGCAGAAGGGGTTGACTCCATGGATCCTTGGGAACTTTTGAGAGGTGGGATCCAAACTGGGTGGGGTCCCTGCCCAAGCAGCACATCAGAACCGGGCAAGGATGCTGCTTCTGCCTCCACCGTGAGGAAGCTAGCTAGTGGCCTAAGGGGTTGGGATGCCAGCATCATGGCTACTCACAAAGAAACCACGCCACTTCAGCCGGAATCAGGATGCCACTGCCACAGCTGCTGGCCCCAGAACCAGGTTACCTCTGTGACCCACACAGCACAGCATACCTCTCTCCTCAGCTGGCTGCTGCTCATTCACATGGCCGGGAAGTGCCCCTGATTGCTGGAGCTCAGGGTAGCATTCGCAGCCCTGGTTGCACTCCAGTGTAGAAACTAGAGTTTCTGGGAGCTCCTGGCTGGCTCAGTCCGCTAAGCGTCTGGCTCATGATTTCGGTGCAGGTCATGATCTCAGGGTTATGAAATCGAGCCCTGTCTTGGGCTCCACACTCAGTGTGGAGCCAGCTTGAGAGTCTCTCTCTCCCTCTGCCCACTTAAAAAAAAAAAGAAAGAAAAAGAAACTAGAGTCTTTTGTTTCCCAACCTCTGCAGTATAGGGAGTTGCCTCAGACATTGTGAAATGAATGCACAGAATCTGCCTCAGGGCCTTTCAGAAACTGTGTGGACACTCCGAATTTACCTTTAGTCAGCTGCACTTGTCTGTACATTTATGCCAAATGAAGGGGCACACTGTGCCCAGCTGGAACTCTGGGGTTTCTCCAGTTATATGACAGCCTCCCCCAAGGCCGGGTGATGTTTTGGCTTCTGGATTCCCGCATGTTCTTCCACTTCTGTTCAGTTTATTTGTTCAGCGTGCACTGGAAATACAAAATGTAAAAGGAGCTCCCATGCCCTCCGGGAAGAGGGTACAGACAGGCACACAGACTGTTGGACGTGCTTGCCGTCAGAGGCGGGGGGCGGGGGGACAGGGCACAACAGAGGTGGGGTGGATTGGCCCAGGCAGACTGTCCTTCGTGGGCCATGCTTCAGAGAGGAGGGGGCTTGAGAGCGGAGGTGTGGGCGCGAATGGAAAGCAGGAGAACAGCCCATGTGTGCACAGCGGTCTGCCAGGCAGGGACCACATGGGAACATGGCAGGTGAGAAGGTGAAGCTAAGGGGTTGCTAGGCAGAGCTGCAGAAGGGAAGCCCTAGCGAAGGTGCCCCGGAGGGAAGAGGCCTGCCATTGACGTGTGCAGATGAGGCTGCTGGGGAGCCAGAGAGGGAGTGAGGAGGAGTGGGAGTGCGGTGAGCCTGGAGGCCAGTGCACCACCCCAGCCAGTGAGGCCCAGCCTGAGCAAAGGCGGAGCAGGCATCCTTCCTTTGCTTTTCTTAAATGGCTGCATGTACCTTTATCTCTTTAGAAACTGCTTGAAGGTAAGTGAGGTGTGGTGTTTTGCATCATGCTTTCTGTTTCAGGTTGAATGGTTTGCATATTGCTATACTTGCTTTAAAAAAAAAAAAAAAGAACCTAAAAATAAACTAATTTAAACTAAAGTGCTTTTGTGAGTTTCTTTGAATTTAAGGTTGCCTAAAGTGAACACGTAACATTGTTGGCATCATGCTTGGGCGACGTTGGAGACTGAAAAATATGCCAGACTCCAGGTTCTGAATGGAACCATTAGGGAGCATCCTTACCCCGAGCAAACACACTCGCATTTGTTTATACAGAAGGTCTTAAGGCTTTTAGCTTAAACTTTGGGCCTGAAATACAGCTCCTGATTCAGGGAGTAATGGCTGCACTTAAAAAAGAACATTGCACTGTGTTCCCTTCTAGAGCCCCCGTTCATAGTGTTCGCGTGGAAAGTAGAATGGCTGGCCCTTCATTCAAAAACAGTGGACTATGTCTGTGGTTTGGCACTTAAAACATTTTCTCCAGTTACCATAAGGCTTAAATTTTCTTTGGTGCTTTTCATATAAAAATCCAACCAAAATGCATTTGACCACATTGGTGTGATTTTCGAATAGTAATTGAACTTCCCTTTTTTGTGGCCTGCAGGAGATATGGATTTAGCCGCCAGAGCAAAACAGAGAAGGTAAGAAAAGCATAGATAATGGGAGAGAACATTGGAGAGATGGAAGTGCCCCTCCCCTTTGCCTCTGTCTGATGCTGATGGGCTCTGGGCTTAGCAAGAATGGGGGGTTGCGGCTCCGCAGTGACCCGGGCTCCCGTTCCTGGGCAACCCGGGTCGGTGGGGATGTGGCAGCTGCCTGGGGCCACTGCATCTCCCTCGTACTAGCTGCGCACTGCCACCCTCATGGGCCAGGGAGCTGAAGCAGCAGCCTCATGGAAGGGCTAGAAGTCATGGCCCCAGAGACAACCAGCTGGGCTCTCCTAACTCCAGAGGTGTGAAGATGAAGCGTGCTGCAGGGCCCTGGGCACTCCCTGCTGGAGGAGGGAGACCCTAGACAGGTGTGAGCAGGGTGCTGCCAGTGATGTAGAACACAGCCCCATGTTGCAGGCCTGCCCTAAGACAGCCTAGTGTGGAGAACTCAGGGAGGTTGAGGTGGGAGTTCTAACTTCACACGGCAGTCTCAGAAACCTCCCATAATGTATGTGTTTACTAACGAGCCTTGGCCATCAGCTGCAGGGCAGGCATGTGCATCTTACAGTGCCAGACCCCGTACTGTGTCTGAGCGCCTTTTTGCAGGGCTCTGCATGTCCTTTCTTCATTTACTTCCCTGAGCAACTCAGTGAGGAAGACACTACCTTTTTTCAGAAAAGCTGAGGTCAGAAAGCTGTGAGGCTCAGAGAGGCTCTGGGATTTGTCCACAATCACGCAGGCCCCTCAAGGGAAGTAATAAGAATCTGAACCCAGGTCTGTGGGACAGCAAAGCCTGTGCTCTTAACCACTGCCTTTTAAATAATGGAATGCTGACTAAAGTTGTTGTTGGCTCTTAAAAAGCAGAGTCCTATAGTTTGAGATCCATGGGTACTCTTTTTTTCACTCATTCCCCATCAAACACCCAAGAGTTCCTTGCATAGGACACTTCCTCTCTCGGCTCTGTTCTCCTGCCACCCCACCTCTGTCCAGAACCCCGATTCTTCCAGGAGGCCTGCCTGGCTCTCAGCCTCCTGCGTTATGTGGTGATTGCTGTCTCAGTCAGCAGAGGGCACGGAGAGTGGCTAGGAGCGTGTGTGCCGAAGGCAGGCTGGCTGGTTTCAGATCCCGTCTCTGTATGACTTCGGACAGTGTACTTACTCACTGTGCCTCAGTTCACGGCATCTGTGAAGGAGGGGCGGTCACTGTACCCCCTCACAGCGTTGGTGGGGAGAATGACTCATCACGCAGGAGATACTGAATAAGCATGAGCTGTTTTATCAGGGGCAGTGGTAGTTCAGGGCAGCCAGTCATTGAGTAGGTTACCTTCATTTTCAGTCTTCTCATTATTTAATTTTGCAACTGTTGTATTTTTATTTTTAACTAGTCATTTCCTCCAAAGCAAGGGTTTTCTGGATTTGTGTATGTCAGGTGGCATCTGATACATAATAAGAATTTGATGTGTACGTTCAATTTGGCATGTAATTTAGTCTGAAAAGAATGTCTGTGCATATAGTTATTGGGTGTATTAATTATGGTTGGAAAAGTTATGCGATGCCCATTAAATGGTATTCACTTTGGGCTTGTCTACAAATACAGATACAGGTTTCCTCTACTATCCCAGAATAGAGTAGCTGTAAAGCCTTTTATAAGTCAAAATGGTATAAAGCAAAGAAGCAATTGCCATCAGTTTATATGAAAAAATTTGTGAGCATTCCTAGATCCAAAAAGTTAAGTCTTAGGCTTTTCTGATACAAGCCTTGCCAACAGACACACAAAATAAATTGAGACAAAGCACAGATGCTTGGATACAGTTTGAAGTTCTTGCAGCTTGATGCTGAGATGCTGAATGTTGTTCCCAGGGAAGGAGCTCAGCAGCCCGCTTTCACTGCCCAGGTTACACACTCCCTCCTAATGGCTCACAGCTAAATGAACGCCGAAAACTGTTTTTGCTTTCACCTTTTTTTGTAAAAGCGAAAATCCTTTTCAGATTTCTTTCGGTCAGCAACAACAGTTACTAATAGGGGTCTTTTGTAAAAGCAAAGTGGCCTAACATGAGTTTTCGAAAGCAGGGGATACCTATATCCCCCGCAGTTAGGAGCTCACGGTGTTCCCTGGGGTCAGTTACAGGCAGGTTATAGAAAAGCCTTCTAGAATTGGGTTGGTCTAAGGCAGCCTGAGACTGCCAGTTCTCTTTTTCAATCCAAGAGGACCCTGATATCCAGAGAAGGTAAGCCTGCAGTCGCCCTGCTGGCAGGTGGCGAACATGGAACTAAAAGAGCAAGCTCTCTAGACTTGCAGTGCAGTTTTGAGAAGCCGCAGGTCATGCAGGTGTCTTGAGCATGGCGGTGGGTATATTTAGAGCCTGAGGCTGGGTCCAGAGCCAGAAGCTAGATCACCAGGTGAAGTAATTCGATTTTTATCCTTCAGGCCAGTGGTTTTTAAACTTTGTTGGCTACTCTTAGCAGTAAGAATTCTATTTTTCATCATGATTCAGTACACACACAGACAGCTCCAAAATAAAGGTTTCACAGAGCAGTGCCTAACCCTTTACTATGTGTAAAGCACTTTAATGTGTCCTGTTCTCTTATTTTTGTGTAATGTCTATAGATGTTGGCCATACCTGCTAAAGGACTTGCATGTCCCCCAGTGGGTCTCAAGTGGCCGTTTGAAAAACACACTCTGTTAGGCAGTGATTTGCTCTTGAAGGGGTTACGGCAGGGAGGAGACCCAGTCAAAGGAGGAGTCTGGCAAATGCATGCGACCTGATAGGCATTGAACCAGCAAGCAGTACAGCAATGGAGTGAGGCCGGGTCAAAGCCCGGACCTTGACCTGCTCAGTCTGTGGTAGGACTGGAAGCTCAGGTCTCTGGATTCCCCACTCTTTGGCAGGGACTGGTTCACCTTTCCAGATCTGCATATTGTCCTTCACAGATCTGTGCCCCTTTGCGTTGTCATCCTTTCTCCACTGAGTCTTCATCTCCAGGGCCCAGCTATTTTTGCATCTTCCCTTCCAGGCCGAGGACAAGAAGACGGTCCTTCCCGCAGGGCTGTCGGCTGCAGAAAAAGCTGATGCCCATGAGGAAGATGAGCTTCAAGCTGCTGAAGAGGTGTGTGACCCGTGTAGGTCCCCTGGGGTTTCTGTTTCAGTCATCTGGGGAGAAATTGTCCCTTCATCCCCAGCTTTGCAAAACAGCCAGCTGCCTCCCACACCCCACTGCTGTTAGCTGGTCTCTCGTACCCTTTCCAGTTTCCTTTCCTCACCCCTTCCCCCATGAGCCTCACTAGAGAGAACAAGTAAATAACCTTGGATTGCACCACAAAGGTCTGTGTAGACCCGTCACAGAAGCCTTACGTACTGGGGTCCACTCATTGCTACTTCTCTCCATTCTTCTTCCAGCAGCGTATCCAGTCGTTGATGACCAAGATGACCGCCATGGCGAATGAGGAGGTGAGGGGGGCATTGTGTAGTTGGCGCCATGTGGAGGTGGGGATGTGGAACCGCCCTGTGCTACTCCAGGGGGCCTCCTCCTAGAGGGACCCCCTTCATCAGAGCCCTGTCTTTTTAGCAGTCAGTGCTTCCTCTTTCCTTAGGGTCTTTTAGGAAGCTTTCTCCCAGTGCGTAGTGTTGCCGTCCATGGAAACCTCTGGGGATCTGTAAGATCTGTGAGAGTGGGATGTCCCTGCTGGGATGGCATCACAAGGACCTCTGTAGAGGAGCCGTGGTTCAGCCCTGCCTCTCCACAACCACCCATGCCAGAAGAACCCTCGTCCTTCCCACTCCATCTGCTTAGAAAATACAACACCACATTTTTCATTGGTCTTTCCAGACCTCAGGGCCTGTCCAAAAGGTTTAACCAAGGGCTTTGAAAGGATCCCTCCTTTTTAGGGCAGGAAAAGCCTGTGGCAGTAATGAGGTATTTGGAGAGCTCTAAGATTCCTGTTTCTGTCCCATGTGTATTTTTTTTCCCCCCTCAGTTCTAAGACTTCCAGGTTCCTCTGCTCAGGAAGAGACCCTGAATGGGGTATTTGGGGTAAAGAATGATTTCCCAGGGATACCCAGGGACCAGGAAGAATCTGGCACAATCACCTGAATGACTCACATGATAGAGAGATGGCTTACCATTTGCCCAAGGCTTGTTTTCCTCTTTCCTTGTTGATAGATACCTAAACAAAGCCCAGAGTATTCCCCCTCCTCCCTGGGAGTATTATCTGTTTTTGCTATACGACTCAGAGCATTCAGATTTCCAGTTCTGTGAAAGACAAGGCATGGCCTTAAGAAACCCCCTTCCCTGTGACTGCAGAGCCGCCTCACTGCCAGCTCCGTAGGCCAGATCGTGGGACTCTGCTCCGCCGAGATCAAGCAGATCGTGTCCGAGTACGCAGAGAAGGTATGTGGGGGCCCGGCTGGAGTCTTAGCCTCAGGTCATGCCCCCAGGATCTCTCCTGTGTCCCTATACCCTTCCATATCATTGATGGAGTCACGTTGTAATTCACCAGCGACATTTGTTGGAAACATGCACGCCATGCAAAGCCATCAGCATTTGTCCATTAGCTCAGTTAATTTTCTTCTGCAGTGCCTATTTTTCTATACATATAAAGAGAAAACCTGTTTCTCAGAGCAAGGATCACATCTGATAAATTGACGTCCGAGGTATAGCATAGGCATTTTTCCTTCTCTACCAGGCTTCTTATAACTCGGGCTCAGTTTGGTGATTGGGTCGAAGAATAAGCTTTTGCCACTTAGGAGACAAACCCCATAACTCAGCCAAGCCCAAGGCAAAATTTTTTGTTCCACTTTATTAAAAGGGTATAGAATGAGCTAAAGCCTGAAAGCTATATTTCAGTGTTAGATTTTTTTCTATCCTAAGAATAGGCAGCAGGACCTTGACTATTTCAGGGAGATGGTGATTAATCATTTTGCACATAACTGATTCTGGTCCGGCTGAGATGTAGTATTGGTGAAATCAGATTTACAGGGCATTGTTTCACATCCTTCCTTTCCCGGCCATACTCAAGTCCATCCCCCTAAAACGTTGATGTGTATTAAAGCATCCAGCTTTGCTTTCCCTGTCTCAGAAGCCTTGACGACAAATTAGTTCTGCTCCAGCCCTCCGTGCAATATTCTTCTCAGGTGATTTTGCACAGATGATGTACTTGGGGAAGGGATGTCTCCTGAAACTGAGAGTTAGGACCTTCTGTAAACACAGCAGAGGGTCACCTCCCACCAATGAGAGGTCTTTGAGCAATAAAATGAGTAAAATGGCTTAGAAAGTCCGGGGGTGTGATTCTCATGTTTCCCCTACCCGCTACCCGCCAAGTCAGTGCTTCTTAATATGGGTTTTCTAATCCAACTTTCATGGAGTCCAAAGTGTCCTCTGATTCAGTCTGCCACTGAGGAAAGATGACAGTAGTCAAAGTGTCCTCAGAGATTTGACTGGAAAAGGACTTAGATAATCCTTAAAGTTACAGATCAGCTTAAAAGCCTTGAAAGTGTAATTGAGGAGAACGATTTATACATTGCCCCAAAAAGGAAGTTTCTTGATTGGTGGTCAGCACACAATTGGATGGCACTTGCCTTTATGTTGCCACATAGCATTGCTGAATCCAGTTTTTTAAAAAAGACAACTAGAAGATGGGGTACTCACTGCAGGGGCCCTGACTTTTGTCTTCATACTCACCCACTGCCGGTGGATAAGAGCTCAGATTATTTTAAGAAGGAAACCAAGCAGGCTGACCCTCCTTTGTTGGTCGTATGCCTCTCCTTGCCTGGGAGTCCTGAAGCTTACCTCTTTCCCCAGTCAGCTCTGCATGTCCATGTCTCCTTTTAGGTCTGTTATCCCCTGAACTTTTCCCTCCTCACCCTTGTACTGTGATCTGTACCCATGACCAGTGACTACAGTCTCTACCTACATTCCATTCTGCCAGAAAGGAGTGACATCGGAAGCAGTTTGGAACCAGTGTCTTTCCAAGGACATAGGTGATTAAACTGCTCATGAAGAATTAGAGGTTCAGGGTTCACCACTTGATTGTGTTTTTTTGCATTATGTATGTAGATCATACAGCGTTAAAGGTAATGCTTTTTTAAATTATATCCTACTAATCTTATTCCCATATCAGAGTCATCTCACATTTGCATATTACCCTCCAGGGTTGGTCCCACATCTCCATGGTGGTTCCTAGTTGCAGCCATCAGGTAGGGCATCAAGAGGTAGGGTGGTACAGTTAAAAAGACAGCATTTGAAGTCATGTCTTGGTTCATATCTGTCTCCTCTACGTCCCAGCTGTATGACCTTGACCAATTTATTTAACCCCTCTTTGTCCTCCTATCTCCCTATGTAAAATGGAGATAATACTACTTCGCTGTCAGGATTTTGTGAAGATTAAGTGAAATGTGACTAAATACCTAAATAGTGTCTGGCACGTGAGAGCTTTTAGCTGATACTCACCTTCATTTGCTTTTTTATAGTCTGCATTTTTTTTTTGTCATGTCGAATCCTAAACATTTTATATGTTTCTAGCCTTTGCACTTATTTGAATACTAGATAATCCATGTGTTAATACAGCCCATTTCCTCAGACATTTCTCTGTTCGACTTTTCAGTTGTCTGTGTCTGCCACTGTGGATAATGCTGTCGTAAACTGAGCAGATAGTTTCTACTAAGAGGTTTTTTTTAGGAGTTGGGTGTTGGGTTATCTCTCTTTGTTGCTTTACAAATAAGTTGTAACAACATAAAATACTGTCAGTGATAAAGGGGCTTCACCATGGCCCCACATTTCCAGCTTTGTTCATTTTTTTTTCATTTGTCTAACTTGCTACTTTAGTAGTACCTCTTTGCACCCGAGAGGATGGGCCATGGTTCCATGTTTTTGTTTGCTCTATTTTGTACTATATAAATTGTTATTACCTGTACTCATTTATCTTTTGGATATGTGATATTTTTCATATAAATTTGAATACAGTCTATATTCTAGATTTATATATTTCATCACTAAAGTATTTCTTGGCTGTTCTTTTTTTTTTTAATATACAGTAAGTTAGCCACCATACAGTACATCATTAGTTTTAATGTAGTGTTCAGTGATTCATTAGTTGCATATAACACCCAGTGTTCTTTTATTTTTTGGATTGCCTTTCATTATAAACAAGGAATTTGTACGTAAATCCATGGATCTTTTTATTATTGTTTCCAGGTGACAGGGTCATCATCTTTCCATGGATCCAATAAGTAATCCATTACATTTCAGTTCATCTTTTACTGATGATGTTTAATTCTTTAACTTATGTGGAGTTCACTTTTATTTATTCTAAAATGGGATTCATGCCGATTTTCCTCCTCCTATCCACTCTCCTAATACCATTTATTCATAATTTTTTATACTTACTGGGAGATAGCTTATCGTATTTTTGTGGTTTTTATCTAATTTAAACTGTTGATGGACTCTTTCTTACTTTATTGGTTTATACTCCTCTAATTTTATGCAAGTTCCATGGTGAAGTTATGTTTGGCTTTGTTGTAGTTGTTAGCTTTATTGTTTGCTCCTGTTTTATCAGTGGCCTCCCACCAGAGAGCATGAGGAACACAGTTGTCGCTGAACAGCCGGGTTTATTGCTGGTGCTGGTGGGGGAGACTGCACGAGTGGGCAGCCATGCGACATCTCAGTAAGGAAGCATTAGGAAAGACTTACCATGGGATTCTGGCTTGTTTTAGGTGATTTGTGGGAAGGACCAAGAAAGTAGGGCTTTGCTGTCTGTTGGATGTTTTAAGGGAGGACGATCCTATAAATGAGTGTCTAAATAAATTTAATAAGATGGGGGAATGAAAAAAATTAAAAAGATGAGGTAATGAATCAAGGTTAAAGCTGTGTACTATTATTAGCCAGCATAGGGGGATGTTTGGTCATTTTTGCAATTTGAACAATGACGAGATTTTGTCCATGTTCAGACATGATTACGGAATGCTCATGTCTTTCCCTTCATCTTCAAGACATTGTGTGATGTTGACATTCTTTAGAATTACCTATGTTAAGCACCAAGACCTAGGTTGTGCAGGGCAGCTCCCAGCAACATCGAGGTCTTGCCGAGAAGGCCAGGTTGGCTCTCAGATGCCAGAGGCTGCTTTACTTCTCCTCTGCTTATTCATACATTTAGTTATCTACTGCTACACATCAGTATTACAACAAAGGTGGTAGCTTAAAACAACACACACTTATTTTTTTTAAGATTTTATTTATTTATTTGACAGAGATTACAAGTAGGCAGAGAGGCAGGCAGAGAGGAGTAAGCAGGCTCCCTGCTGAGCAGAGAGCCCGATGTGGGGCTTGATCCCAGGACCCTGAGACCATGACCTGAACCGAAGGCAGAGGCCTTAACCCACTGAGCCACACAGGTGCCCCAACAACACACACTTATTATCTCACAGTAACTGGGGGTGAACAGTTGAGCCCAGATTAGCAGGATTTTTTTGTTTAGGGCTCTCACAAGTGAAGGTGCTGCCCGGGTCTGCTTTCTTACCTGAGGCTCCGCTGGGGCACGATCCACTTCTAAGCTCATGTGGTTGTTAGCAGGATTCAGCCTGTTGGCTAAAGTCCTCAGCTCTTGCTGGCTGCTGGCTAGTGGCTGCCCTCAGTTCCTTGCCATGTGGCCTTCCCCAAATTGCCACTTGTTTGATCAAAGCCAGCAAGGGAGAACACCTCCTCATAGGCTAGACATTGTAGTTCTGTGTAACAGCTAGGTGCATGCACTTACATATATCCCATCACTTCGCTGTTTTCTGGTTAGAAGCAGGTCACAGGTCCCATCCACATTCAGGGGATGGGCTTACACGAAGGCCTGAACACCAGGAGGCAGAGGGGATAGGGCTTTCCTAGGGTTGTCCACCACACTGTTTGGTTTTCGCTTTAATCTTACTGCCATGGGGCGCCTGGGTGGCTCAGTGGGTTAAGCTGCTGCCTTCAGTCATGATCTCTGGATCCTGGGATCGAGTCCCGCATCGGGCTCTCTGCTCAGCGGGGAGCCTGCTTCCCTTTCTCTCTCTCTGCTTACTTGTGATCTCTCTCTGTCAAATAAATAAATAAAATCTTAAAAAAAAAAAAATCTTACTGCCATGAATTGGGCTGATACCAGGCACTGGCAATTATCTAAAGTCCATGCACTCACCTTTAGGGTTTCTGTAACGAATCCCTTGGAAGTGGAGATGGGATTGAGGGATGCCCCAAAGGGAGGCCTTCAGAGGTTTCTTGTAAGAAACCCAAATTAATCTGGTAACAGGATGGATTTCTGCTTAGTGAAGAAAAGGGACAAGATAGTTTTGGGAGTATGAAAGAGTGAAAATGATTATGTGAGCAGGCAGTGAATCGAACAGCTGGCCTGGTGCTTGGAAAGCTGACAG